ACCCGTGTCACCCTGGACGGCCTGCACGGCCAGCGTGTGCCTTCCAGCCTTTCACAGTGAAGGGGAAGGGGAGAGGGTGGGGGGCTTTACAGCGCCACCGCCGTTTGGAAATATCTCGCGACTTGATTATTGGGGTTGCGTCAGCGACTCTGTACGGCCGGCCACGCTGGTGGTGTTGTTCTTGTGCTCGCGGGGGATCCCTTCTTGCAGACCCATGAGAAAGTTTCTTTCTCCATGTGTGTGTGTGTGGGGGGGGGGGGCGCATTAGTGTGTGTGTGTGTGTGTATCAGTGTGTGGGACTGGAACGTACGCAGGCAAGGTCGCGTTAGTTTGCCACCGCGTATCGCCGCACTACAAACAAGCCAACGCCGCCGCCGTCCCGTTGGCCCGTTGGAGGCACTGCGAAGGCACTGCGAAGGCACTGTACCGCTGCACGCCACCGCGGTCGTGGCTGTTGTCCGTCTTTTGTCCTCCTTCGCGGCGCCCGCGGCCTGGCGGCCACCACAGTGGGCGGGGAGCCGCCTGGTGGGTACAGCCCCGGCGCACAGGGGAGTCTGCCGGGCTGCCTCGCAAGCGCTCTCCGGGGAGGCGGCCGCCTTGGGAATATACAGCCCCGTTGCACAGAGGAGTCCGGCGGGCTAGTCTACGTCGCAGGCGCTCCCGCTCTGGGAGTCGGGCGGGCCGGGCGGGTGCCAAGGGTTCGCGTCCGCGGCGTGCACCTTGGCCGGGCCGCGGGGCCGCTGTCGTGCGTCCGTGCCCACGGCCCCACGGCCCCACGGCCGGCCTGCCTGCTCTGCATAACCTCGCCGCCCTTCGCTGCGCCGCGGCGGCGAACCAACCGATTTACTGCGAGGCCCAATTGGCGGGCTGGTGCGGCGCGGCCCTCAATAAAATGACGAAATAAAGCCACGCAGCGAGACAAAGTGACGCGGGCGGGGCGGGCGGGACGGGTACGCAGTAAATGACGCCGCAACCCGCGGCCGCGGCCGGCAACGCGGGCAAAGCGGGCAAAGCACGCGACCGGAGCGCGGACGGCTCGAAACGCCGTCATTTGGACCGTTTATTTGGCACCGCGGCCACGACGGCGGCGGACCTGGTGTGCCGCGGCGCCGCGGCAGGGAAACTACGCGGGCTGGGCCGCGGTCCAGAAAGCACGGTGAGCGGAGAGCCGGACGGACCGGCGAGGCGAGCGACATCTTTCGACAGAACTACGTCGCGAAAGCGGCGGCCACGCGGCTACTCGCTCACTCCGGCAAATCCGCATGTGGGGGCGAGGGAGGCGGGCTGGCGGGCAGGCGGTAGCGAGCCTCGTCATTTTGGGGAAAGCACCTCCGTGACAAAGACGCGGCGACGCGGCGACGCGGCCTGCGACGGCGAAGCGGAAGACAGCGCGCTGCTTGCACCGCCGCGGTCCCGAACTCGAGTCGAAATCACGTGTGTCGTTTCGGCAGAAAAATGGAATGGAGGCAACTTGGACTGGTGTCTTCAAAATCTTGCCCATTTTGACTCCAGTGACGGAGTGTCGTCCTCGCGCACGATGTCTTCTCTGACTCACGAGGGCGGAAGCGATTTGGGAAACTCCTCGACGTCGCTCGAACTGGTCTTGTATCGCCAGCCCCCCACCGCCCCCGCACCCGAACAGGACACTGGACAGGACACACGAATCGACTAGCATTTTCTTTCCGCGGATCGGACCAGTCCCAGGCCCGCCCACATCACGCCCAGCCCAACACACGCAAGACGTGTCCTGCAGGCGACACGCTGTGTGTTCTGCGATGGAGACATTATTTCCCAAGACACGGTCCAAATGAAGCGATTAGCATAGGCAACACACGCACCCCGTCGTGGGAGGCTGCCCCTGTCACTGTGGGAGACTGAGGGAGGGATAGAGCGAGCGAGAGAGAGAGGGAGGGAGAGATGGGCAGGCTCGTTACTCATCTTCGCGTCACGAACAAGCTCGCAGCTCCGCGCCGTCGGGGCCGACGTTGCGTCGCTCTTCCGCCACACTGGCCCGGACAGGTTGTTGAGCCGGCATCGCATCGGCCGCCATCGGCCGCCATGCCAAGAGCGTCCGAGTTTGGCGTTTGAAAAGCCCGCCGCTTTATGGCCAATCGCAGAGACGTCCGTAATCTCGTTCGACGATCGACAACACGCACGCACACACACACACTCACACTCACACACGCATGCTTTATTTCCCGCGGTGGAGGCGGCATCTCATTGGCCTGCCGCCAGTTCGTCTTCGGCCCGCCGGGATGCGCGCGGCGATTTTCGTGGATCGTGGTGAGTCCGATGCGGGAATGAGGCGTCACCAGACGGCGTTTTCATTCCAGTGTCTGCTCTATTTTACAGTGGAAAGAAACCAATTTGGCCGCCCCTTGCCGCTTTTCAACCGTTGCGCGCGTTGCCGCGTCCGATCCGTCGAGTTCGCCCGTTTTCTTCCGCCGAGCCTGGCTTTCCTTTTCCCTCGGCGCTCCGGGCCGGACTTCTGTTTCCGACTGACTCGATTCGCCCCGCCCCGCCCCGCCCGGGTCGCTCGCGAACATGACGCGGCGCGCGCGCACTAAATGAAGACTCGCTTTACGGTCGATTGAGACGAAACGGACTCACTTTCCGCGCGGAAGCGGCGCCAAGCGGTGCGGGGGCGTTACGGAAGTTCGGCCCGCCGTTCTGGATGGTTAGAGTAAGTGTTTGACGGAAACCTCCCCCTCCCCCGCCCCTCCTGTCTCTCTCCGCGTCTCTCCCTCTCTCTCCCTCTCCCACTCCCACGCCCCGAGTGGAGCGCCTTCGCAAGACCCAACCGTGACCGTGGCGAACAGAGAGCGCTGTGCGGAGCAGCGGAGCACCGAGCCTCCTGGACGTCGTGGTCGACGTCGTGGTCGACGTCCTGGTCGACGTCCTGGTTGACGTCCTGGACGCGCGGACGGACAGCGATCCCCGCCGGACGCAGCCTAATCAACGCGACAAAACTGAATCGACAAGCGGGATTCGAACCCCGGTCCGGCCCGGCCCGACCCGCGCGTACAACGGGGGCACTTCCGCCAGCTCCGCCACACCAGCAGAAGCACCGACGCCACCGCACCGACACCGCCAAAGTTGAGGTGCCCTTCCTGCTTCGCCTTATACTTCGTGGCCGCGCGCCCCGCTTATGGCACGCCGTGACACTGGAGGCTGCCTTCTGCGTGACACGTGACGAGTGACACACACACACTCACACACACACACACACACAAGTGCACGCACACGCACACGTATTCCCACAGCAGGTCAGCAGGAGGCGGCCGGAGAAAGTAAAGCAGGTGGATTACTTCACCGCAGCCGGCGTGCTGCCATTTCTTTGATCTATGCTACTTCCGTCGTCGTTGTTGTTGTTCTGCTTGTTGCGGTGGTTATGCCTCATTTGTGTTCCGGCCTCACTTTTGGAACGCCGTATTAGAATCAAGATTGCGTGTTGGAAAAAAAATCTCTCTGAAGTTTCGATGAAGCTGGTGCTGTGGACACATAGGCCAGGTAGAGCGCGGTGAGCAGCGATCGTTCCGTAGCGGGACCGGGACTGCAGCACTGCGGGACGCGGATCGAACATCGAACACCCCTCCAGCCTCTCGCTGCCTCTGCCTCCGGCTGCCTCTGGCCTTCCTGAATGATGTCGCGCCGCGCCGCTGCGCCGGTCGTATGACAAACTCGGCGTGTGCGTCGCCGGCCGCGCCAGCCGCGCCAAGAGCGATCACTTTTCGAAACCGTTCCGTATATTTCACAGGACAACCGGCGGCGTCGCCGTCCCCGGCGTGTTCCACGCGTGGCGTGGCGTGGCGTGGCGTGGCCGCAGCGGGCGTGACCGCGCCACGCACGCCGTATCTCTCGCATGCCCCCGCCCCGCCCCGCCCCGCCCCGCCCCGCCCCGCCCCGCCCCGCCACGCCACGCCACACCCGCTGCACACTCGGCAGACTTGTCGCTAGGCCATAAAGTCGGAAAATAAGAAAAGTGAGTACGGCGCGCCTGTGCCAGCCCAGGCCAGCCCAGGCCAGCCCTGGCCGTGCGTGGCTGCGGCTGCCACGGAAAGGTCAGCAGGTGGGTTCCGAACGGCGGCTCGCGTCGCCCTGCCTCGCTCGCACCCCTACGGAACGCCCCATGAGTGCGACAAGGACAGCGCGACGAGCTTCGGAACCTGCCCGTCGGCGTGGCGTCGTCCCCGAGCCGAGGAAGTCCCCGAGGAAGTCCCCGAAAGTCCCCGACGCACTGGAGGATTCCGAGAGGCGTTTTCGTCTCTATGTCTCTCTGGCACCTTTACTGGGTTCAGTCAGAGAAAGACCGAGCTACGAACGACTCTCGGAGAACTCGGGATGGCCTTTTCTACCTTCCGCGGGCCGTTCGTGCAAAAACGCATCGCATTGCTTCTAATCCCCTGATGGCGGCTGGTGGGGGGAGGGGGAGGGGCCATAAGCCACGTCACAATGGCAGGTCGTTACTCGCGTGCGACAGGACGACGCGGGCGCGCGCGGGCGTGTTCCAGGAGTGCGCCGCGCACGGCCAAGAGGCCCGTCCGAGAGGCCCGCCTCGCTCATTGCGGACCGGTCACTCATAATCTGACCAGGATGGACCACTCCACTCGTCAAAGCCCCCCACGCAGCGTGACCTTTGCTGGGCTTGTGAGTGTTTGACTGTTTGCTGGCTTGTTGTTGGCCGTAGCCGGCATGCGGTGCGGCAAGGCGCGGCCCGGCAAGGTCCTGATGGGTGTGACGCCGGCCAGGTACAATGTCGTGTTGTAAGCGAACGATGGCTCGTTCGCGGGGGGGCGTTCTTTTTGTTCCGAGCGTTAACGCCTTGTGTCTGCTTGTGTTGCAGGGGCCATGCCCGATGGCCTCGCGGCCCTCGCGGCCTGGACGGCCTGATGGCCTGATGGCGCCGGTCCGGGCGGCCCCCTGCGGGCCCTGCCAGGGGCCCTGCCAAGGGCCCTGCCCCTGCGGGGGCGGCGTCTCGACCGCGGGCCGCGCGCCCCACAGCTCCACAACGCGGACGCCGGCCCGGTGCACGCAGTGCACGCAGTGACGCCATGAAGGGCAGCGTCGCGGTGCGACACCTGGGCCAAGGCGGCCTCCAAGGCCTCGGCCACCACCACCACGACAGCCACCACCACTTCCCGGCCACCCCGATGGCCGTGGACAGCCTGCACCACCACCACGCCAACAACCACAACAGCCACCAGCACATGGCGCGCGTCAAGGCGGGCGTCGCGGCCAGGACGTCGTCGTCCTCGTTCGCGTCCTCGTCGTCGTCGGGCGGCGCTGCTGCGGACACGCGCCACACGGCGTCGTCGACGACCTCGTCCTCCGGCGGCGGCACCAGGCAGACGTCGTCAGAGCGGCTCGCGACGCCCGCCGTGTCCGAGAGGCTGACGCCGCGCCGCTTCCTGGACAAGTACTCCCTGCCCAGGGTGGTCCGCGTGGTGGCGGACGGCGGGCGCGCCAAGCAGCCCATGAGCGGGCCGCTGGCGCAGCCCCTGCTGCTGTACAGGCACTACACCAGCTGCAAGGTGCTGGCGCGCAGCCTGCGCCGCCCGGGGGACAAGGCGGCCAACAAGGCGGCCAAGCACTCGCGGGACGACAAGCACGCCCAGCACGAGCCCAGCACGGGCCCGCCGCTCGTCATCCCGGACTCCTACCAGGGTGAGTGGCGCTTCGTAGTACCTCTCATCATTCATCTTCAAAAACAAAATTAACCATGGTCTGTTTAATTTTGTCCAGGTTGGTTTTCGCTCGTCCGCGAGCGAAGTCTTCAAACCCGAGCCAAGTTGTACTCGTCCATCCAACAGCTGGTGAACGCGCGCGTCGCCGTGTTCCTGAGCAAGGGCTCGCTCACCGGCTTCAAGCTGGCCCATGCGCCGTCACCTGGTGAGTCTGAGTTCCCTCTCTCGCGCTCGTGCCTTAAAGTGCCAAACAGACAGAGTCCGAAAAGACCCTCGGGATCATAGTCTCCCCTGTGCTTGCGTGCCCCCCGCGACCTGCGTCGGCGGAGCGAGGCGACGCACATTTTCACACGTCAATGCGGCTTTTACTACCCGGTCGGACGGCGGACGTTGTGCAACGGTACTGACCGTTCCCGGTCCGTTGCTGTTTTTCCGCGACAGCTCGCAACAAAAGTCAAGCTCGGCATTACTATTGGCAACGCCCGGACACATCTGCATTCTACTCCCCCTCCCCCCGTTCCCGTCCGAGGAGCGCGGACCGTCGCGGACCCCGCGGCCGCGGGCGTTAGGAGGAGCCGAGCGACGTGTGGCCGTTGGGCCCGTCGGGCCGTCGGGCCGTCGCCGAGCCACGTCCAACTAAATCCTTCTCCAAACGACCGCTGCCATTTTTCCGGCCCTGCCAAGTCTCACACGCGCTGCGCGGCGCGGTCTTTTGTGCGGTGCTGCAAGTTGGCGGCCGTCACGTCCACGTCGGCGTGCCGCGCGCCGCGCGCCTCGGACTGTAAAGCCGTCGCGCCGTGACGCGGCCGTCGGCTCGACGCACTTCTTGTGCTGCAGCGACTCCAGTCACTCGGCTAAGTGAGGGGCGCGGAGGGGGAAAGAAATTGATTAGAAAGAAGCGCGCTTTGTGGCTCCTGATAGCGAAAGGCTGATCAGGCGGTGCTACTTATTAACGTACGGAGAGGGGGGAAAGGGGGGGGTGGAGAAGGAAGAGGAGGGGGTAGATGGTATCAGACTGGGTTACGGTACGGCACGGCGCGGACACCGCAAGGGTCCGGCCTAGCCAGGGCCTAGCCAGGACCTAGCATGCGGTACATTCCGTTACAAAACCTTCAATGACGCCCGAGCGTCATGTGCTGCCGTAAGCACGACTAGCGGGGTTGGCGGCAACGTCCAATCAAGATTTCACTCATATTCTTTTCCCGCATTTGCCACTAAAGTGTACGAGCCCTCTAGCGCTTGCTGTCTTTCCACAGGCGTCGACGGCGACATGGCGGGCCTGGGGCTGTCCGGCAGGCGTCTGCAGTACGCCCGCAGCACCGTCCGCGGCGGCCAGGTGCTCAGGCTGCTGGCCGTCTTCGAGGACAACGAGAGCGGCAACGCGTCGGCGCGCTCCCGACGGGGCCCGGGTGGCTCCGGCGGCCTGGGGCTCGGGGGCCTCGGCGTGCTCGGTCCGCGAGGGGCCGGCTCGGGGTCCGGGCTGGGCTCCGGGCTGGGCTCCGGGCTGGGCAGGGCACTGCCGGCACCCCTCGGCAGGATGGGCAGCGCGCCCACGCAGTACGCGCAGTGCCTCACCGCCAGGAACGAGGTGAGTCCACAGAGGCGGATCCAGAGGCCGCCTTTCAGGGGGCAAAGTAGCACCTTTTGCCTGCATGCAGAGGCGAAGTATGCCTTGGGGACGGCAAAGAGTTCTTTGCCCCGCTCCCTGCATGGGCGAGGGCGTTCACGACGACGTGCCTGCCTGCCTTGCAGTCCGTGTTCGTGCCCGTCTCCGCCACGGGGTCGTTCTACGCCGTGGCCACGGAGGACTCCGCGGAGAGGGACGCTGACGGTGACGTGGACGACGACCTGTCCCGGGTGTACCAGTTACCACAACTGCTGCGGCTCACGGCCGAGCCCCTCCCCGTCAAGGTGCAGCTCGTGTGCGGCCCCATCCAGAGCCCGCTGCCGACCGGATTCACAGGTACGCGTCACGCGGTGCGCCTGCGCCAGCAAGGGGTGTCATTCGATGGCTTCGTCGATCTGTCTAACCGTGTGCTCTCTTCAGGGCTGCTGCTGTTGGAGGACTTGCAGCAGGAGGACGTGATCCTGGCCTGCACGATACCGCGGTCCTGGGCACTGCCGTGCGCCGCCCCCACCACCCCCACCCCCTCGACACCCACCCCAGGCAGCGATACCCCCGCAGCCAGCCCCCCGCCCCCGGCCACCGCCACCAACACCACCTCCACCACCACCTCCTCGTCGTCGTCGGCATCCTCGACGACCCCCGAGGAGGGCGACAGCAGCAGCAAGCCCGTCTTCCTGGAGATGGACGCCGACTCCAAGTTCCTGCTGACGCGTCCGCTGGCGAGCCGCGAGGCGGAGGCGCGGTTCTTCAAGACGCCGCTGCTGCGAAGAGTGCTGTCGCACTGCCGGGAGCGCGCCGATCTGTGGTCCAGCCAGATCAAGGTGACGCACCACGTGTTCCCCTTCCCCGACGTGCCCAGCAGCAGCCCCGCGCCGCCCGCCCCCGCCACCCCCAGGGCGCCACCAGCCCCCGCTTCGAGCGCCCCCGGTGGAAGCACCAGGTCGCCATCGGAGCAAGGGTCGTCCGGGCGCGCCATCCAGGGCCTGTTCCGCGTGGGCGGCGCGGCGAAAGACCGCGATTCGTCCGCACTGGGTGGCAGGGCGTCGTCGCTGTCCTCGGGCGGCACCAAAAAGTCGCAGTCGTTCAGGTGAGTGTGCCATGCGTTACCTTGGCCATGCCCCGTCCTCGGCCGCGACGATGAGGAAAGGAGTTGCTTACACTGTACCGTTCGTTTCCCGCAGGTACGCCTCGCCCTCGCAGGCTGCTCTGGGTGCGGCTGGAAGCAAGCCTCCCTCAGGCACCACCCCGACCGCCGCGACGCCGTCCACGCCAACGACACCGTCGACTCGGGGCACGCACCGCGGCACGCACCAACTCCTGCAGCAACTGCAGAGCCTGCCGGGCCTCAAGAACCTCCTCCGCCGCACCAGCAGCGTGTCGCCGTCGGCGTCCTCGCAGCCGCCAGACGTGCCGCTGTCCGTCGTCTTCCCGGAGCTGTTCGGCTTGCCGGCACCCGCGGCCGCTGCGGAGGACGCCGCGGTCGGTGGTGGGCCCAGTGGGCAGGACTGCGGAGCCGCCAAGCACGGCAGCAGCCACGGTAGTAGCCACGGCAGCAGCATGGGGGGCGCGAGGGTGAGCGCGCAGACGGCACCCCAGCAGCAGCTGTGCTTCTACGCCGACGAGCTGCCGTACGGACGCGTGGCCGACGCGCTGCCCGTCCCCGCCAACCAGCCCGCCGCCAAGCTGCCCCCGCGGCCTCGCGTGGGGAGGACTGTCGCAGTGCGCGGCCACAACCCACGGAGCCGCGCTTTGTACGACGAGGCCGAGGAGGGCGACGAGGAGGACGAGGACGAGGATGACGCGGAGGAGGAGGACCACCGGAACCGCCACCAGCGGCACAGCCACGACGACGACGAAGAGAACATATATGCCGAGATATGCGAGTGTCCGCGTCGGGGCCGCGGTCGCGCGCAGGGTGTCGTGGTGTCCGGTGCCAGGGTCATCCTGACGACGGCCTGCTCGGAGGAGCGGCGCGGCTACTACACGTTCGCGTCGGCCACCAGTAAGGACCAGTACTACACGGGTGGCAGTGACGGCACCTTCTCGGGGACCATGTCCTCGTCAAACCCTTCGAACCCGGAAGAGGACCTGTACGACAACGTGTGCTGACCAAAGGCCTAGTTGTGGAAGCCGAAGCTGAGCGACGGGAGTCAAGGCACACTTCTTTGGGGTCAGCGACTGATTAGTACCCTCTAGGCACGGTAAAATTTATGCTGTTGTTTTTCTTCACACTAGTTCTAAAAATTTCTTGTTCAGCAGCCACTTTAGAACATGTGACAAAAAAATAAGCCTTTTAAGTGTGTTCTTCATGTTGCCCTGGATGGATGGAAATGCCATCAACGTTGCTTGAAATTGAAGACCTTTTGAGCATTCTTTTCGTATGGTTCTAATTTTCCAATATGTGATTGATTTCTCAAGAAATCCTGTGAATATGTTTGTGAAAGCATTTAATGTTGTACTACGGTTGTTCACTAAATGAAACCAAGTTTTTTTTACCATATTTGTAAATAGGTATTACTGTATAAATAAAAACAAAAACAATCTTGTACATTGTTTGAAATTTTATTGAACATATTGACACTTCTATGAATCAAAGAACAGAAATCAATATGCAAATGCAAAACTAACAGTACGGGTTTCTTATGAATGGCTTTAAAATTGCAACACGAGTACTTGAAACTGAACTAATAAGACTGATGATATGATTAACATATCAGCAGAGACTACAATTTCACTATCTCATAAAATAATCTTTCAAATTACAACAAAAAAAAATTATAAAAAATAACATAACTGGGATTGCAGGGAAAGTTCACAACCTACTCCTCTTTTCTACATGATACTCCATGATTAAGATAAGAGATAAAAATCGAACTTAAAACTATTATAACTTTCCTGAATTACAAAGCAATTCAAGTTTTCTATTGTTTTTGTTTTTTACAGTTATTGAAACTAGCAAAATTGAGAGTAATGAATGAGGTGATTTAAAATTGAAACACATGGACTGAATGATGATAAACATGAGCAGCAGCTTCCATCAAGAACAAGAAATATCAGTTAGAAATGAAAAGTGCCAATAATGAAGTCTTACAGAGATGTAAACCAACACACTTTTCTAAAAACAACAGTGTTATGAATTGCTTCATGAACAATGACAAACTCATAAATTATTGCATATTTTACTTGAAAATATTGTCTGACAGGAACTTACTCACTGGCAGTCATCACAACTCGAATCCATAAGAATAATTGAGAAAAATAGACATGCAAAAAGTCATTTGAATGAGACATTCTGTAAGGCAAAAGCCTTTATAGGAACAACGACAAAGTACATACACAACTACAAAAATGAGCTACAAAAGAGGACAACTACGACAGCACATTATTGTCGACTTATACTAATGAAATTTTGGATAAATAGTAATAAATATTAGGGTGAACTATGAACGATACGATAAATGAATACAGTAAAGAGACATTCAAAATGAAATAAAAATGAAATTTGAATGATTTTTTTGGAAATTTTGGGATCATGTCAGAGTCAGCACAAATCAATTAGCATACTGATATGCTCTAAATTGCAAGCATAGAAGCCCTCTTTGAGATCAAAGTCACAGACTCTATATAAGATCATTGGAATCTGCACATTCTGCAAAATCACTTCTAAAGCGACAACATAGGTTGGCACTTATGCGAAATAAACAGAAAGATTTTCTTTCAGTCTTTGCCAAATAAATTCATGCAGTTTGAGGGGAAGTGAGCAAATTCATGGAAATAATTAATTGGTCACTTATAGAAGAGCATACAAGCCCTCTAGTTGTTCAAACAGGGCAGATGTCAGACTTACAATTACATTGTACACACAAACTTGCACTGCAACAGCCAATCTTAACATGGAATGTATTGTTATTTTTCACAGATAAAACTTACACACATTACTGTTTTTCTTACCCAGTTCATGAATCCAACATTTTCAGAACAAAGAAAAATCACAAAACTACAGCAGACTGACTTGAAAAGGGTTAGCCTGAAATGCACTTATTTTTATTTTTTTAAGGGGAATCATCAGCAAGACAATAATGCAAGTACTAGACAATAAAGTAGAATAACCACCAATCAAATTCCATCACACTGTTGGAAATCACCAAGCATTTTTCTATCATATGACAACATATAACAAAATTCCTTGAAGGTATAATATTATTATGCAATATAATTTAAAGATACTAAATTGAAAGAGATACCTTTGACACAGAAACAAACGAGTGGCTTGATGATGTGGACTACACATCCGTTGGTACACACCACTACCTTCACAAGTGAAATGCTGTTGTATACTGCCATACCACCACCATTGTGACAAGCTTAGGGACGGCAGGTCAACGTCGATATATTGAGTACAATAAAATTGTACAAAACATAATAAATAAAGTGGAGGATAAAACTTTTTTTTCTACATTTGAGACTATTACATGTAAAGGCATGTAGCCGACACATTTCATCATCAAAAACCTCACATAACAAAAACCAATAAAGTTCCTAATAGGTATTTTAAACCCATTTACACACACAGAAAAGGGGACTAGAATCATTAGAACATGAACACAAAATTATTATCTACAAATACAGGAAAATAAGATGTTTATATTTATATATATTTGCTATATAATAGGGGCTCAAAATAAATATGAAGATTTCTTAAGGAGTACGGACCTTTTCTACCTTTGGCAATAGGGATGGATCACCGAGTTTAAATATAAATTACAAAATGATGATAATAGTTCAGACATAAGACATCAAATAGCCTTCCAATAGCATCGATTTACAGTTCAACTTTGATCTTGAACTGACAAGAATATGTGATGTATCTATGTCTATTCAGACTTCACTTGCAGGGTCAAAGCCCCTAGTCCAAAATCAAGTGCAAACTGCAAACGCACAGTGTGTATTGATGATACAAAAATGTCTCTGAAACCTTCAACAGACAGGTAGCAGACATAAAGTTTCCCTCAAAAAATACTGGAAAGCTGAAACAGGAATCTGATAACTATGCCTCAGAACTAACATTGATTAACACCACGGTATTTTGCTTCTGATTGATAGCTCTGTTTGATGTTTACTCCTGGGTATTGCCGTCTCCAGGAATCACAGTGAGTCTCTGAAATGTTGTCACAGAAGCTCACATCTACAAGTCTCAAATGACGACTGTCCCGCAAAAGCCTAGGGCAAAAACAAAAAAGAAATCATGAAACAGGCAACAGAAAAGAAAAATGAGATCCGGAACTGGCGTTAATAAATACCTAGACACAATCTCGGGGGTCACGCTGCTTCCAAGTACATCAACTTGCTCTAACAATGGGCAGTTTTTCAGAAAAGGTTCTAGATGGTAGTCCACAAGGCATCGCATAGATGCCAAGAATATCTTTTTCAGTCTAGGGCAACCATAGGCTATACTGTTGAGGCTCAACCCTGGAGTGCTCAGGCTCAAGCTGCAAGTGAAAAGGGAAAGCAGTAGATGTCAAAAGTGTTTTTTAAGCTTAAAATGTATATGTATTATTTGTATTTGGTATCTTAAAAATACTTACCACCACCCAAGGTCAACTTCCTCAAGTTTTGAACACTTTCCTAAAGCATTAACACCAACAGAAGTCAAAGTGTAAGATTTCCACAAGTCCAAGGATACCAAGTCAGGATTATATTTGCTAAGAGTCAACACAACTTCATCCATAGAAGATATGTGCATGCAGGAACCTGGATGGTGGTAGGAATAAGACAATCGGTACATATTAATTTCAGTCTATAAAGAAATGGAGTAAAAACACTAATTTTGTGAAGCCATTACAGACTTTTTACTTATTCAGAAATAAAATACAAGAAATTATTAATTGCAGCTCAGTGTTGCAAACTCACCAAGATTCAAGTGTTTCAGCTGGGGGGATGCTTTGAGAATTGCTACGAGAGGTTCTTTAGTGACTGAGGTCCGATAAAAGTCAAGCCTTTCAAGTCCAGGAAGAGCAGTTAATGAGAAGAAGCCCCTGCTGGTTACTTTGGTATTATTCTGAAGGGTTAGCTCTGAAAAATGAGAGTAAAAATGAATAAAATTTGGTTGCTAGAATGCATGGCAACAGCTAGAAGAACTGAAGTCTGACATACCTTGAAGTTTTGGACAAATTGATGCAATTCTTTCAAGACTAAAGTCATTTACAAATTGACAGCTGTTCAAACGCAAGTGAGTAAGGTTTCTCCCACAACAGCCCAAAAAGCTGCAAAAAATTGAAGGCAAGCAAAAACCAGATTTAAATATGGCAACTTTATGGCAAGTTTAATTGAAAAATTAAAACCCATTAATTACTTACTCAACAAATTCTTCAGGACAAATGTCTCTATAGTTTCCACACCATGACATGTCAAGCCTCTGAATGTACAAGAGGCGGGGTAGCAAACAATTCAAACTTTTAGGGTTCACACAATGCCAAAATTGCTAGAAAAGAAGGAAAATAATAGGTAAAGAGAAAACCTTATCTTTACAACTTTCATAATGATTGCTTAATCTTGATTCTTACCCGCAAACCAAGTTCAATGTACAAATGAGGATCCTGTGCCAGTCCTCGGAAGTGTCGATTAACTTGAGAACAACGGCACAAGTCTTTGAGGTCTAGGTAGCTGAGGATGTGGAGAATACTTTCATCCTGGAAATGGTAGTCAGGTTTTATGTTAAATAATGATTCAGACAACACTCAATCCTATAGAAGACCAACAAAAAAATTGCAGGTACAAGAAAAATCTTACCGGCAAGCAACTGAAAGCTCCACTGTTGGCACTTTGAGACGTTGGCTGGTCAGGTTGGGGAGACAAAGAAGATGATGAGGCAGGTAAAGCAGTGCGGGAAGGGTTAGCCTTTTGCATATCTTCAATTTGCTTTAAGAGATTAGGAAATTCATGGTCCAGAAATGTTGAGATAGAAGTTGGGATGTCAACCTGAAACCAAAAACTTCTGATTAAAACTTGAAAACAAAAAGTATTTAGATTTATTTATTTAGCCCAAAACAAGCAAGCCCAGCAGAGGTACGAACATTATTTACTCTACGAGTTCCCTCAAAGAATAACACTAACACATAAACATAACATAATTGAGCATACCTGTGGTGATAATTGGTGAATATTGAGCTCCTGAATTCTGTTAGTGATGTCACCAACGTTCACTAGACCCACACAATTAGCTGAACTTCCATTTCTCCTTCTCACAACATTGTTTTGCAAAGTATGGCATGTTCCCAAACTGTTTTCTGGAAAGGGCTTGCAAGTACCCACCAAGCACACGGCATCCAGCTCTGTATAATACTCAAGGTTTGAGTGATCAAACTCTAGACGAAGCAAACTGCAAAAAGAAACCAGAAACAATGATTGTGAAGAAGATATTTGGTATACATGTATGGCACGAGTTTGATTGAATAAAAAAATGCCATTCCACTGAAAAAAAAAAAAAAAAAGGAAAATTACAATAACTTGAGACTTACTTTGTGGGGAACTGAATGGTTCGAAGAGGCGGAGAAAATATTCGGGACATGGGCCTTGTCGTCTGTGCTGCACCTTCCCATAGGAGTGCCCATTTACCCTGAACACTTCGAGCCCAAACTCGTACAAGGGCTCCTGGGTTATAAATTTCATACACATTAACTTGGAAAGGATAGACAGCTTGTTCAAAGATGACATCTGGGGAAAGGAAATAGGCAGTTTTGATGAATGAGAACCAGTAACTTATCACGGTAATGCAACTGAGACGTCATCAATCGAGCAAATAACTTACCAATAAAATCTTGACTCACAATAGAACCTAGGTTTTGAGGCATGAATTCTCGTCTTCCTGAAGGGGCCTCTTTCCACCAACGTCCATAGGTACGCTAAAAGAGTAGAAGAGAGGATAGATTAGACACCAGCAAAGCTGGGGACAGCAATCAACACGTTCTGAGTAATGAAATGAGTGATGGGTCATCGTTGGTAAGTATGCAAATTTGGGCAAGAGCAACATCATTCATTCATCATTCACTCATCATTTATTACGCTCAGAAATCAGAGATACAATGCTCTGTGAATATAGAAACAATTTCACATAAACCGTAGAATTTAGGAAAAGTGGACAGCAATCTAGGTTTCTCAGACCAATAAAAAAATGAAAAAATGCTGACCCACATGAACATACCATAACAAATGCCTGGGGGTAGTCTCCGTAGTCAGGGTACTTGCTTGGCTTCCCAGCTAAATTATAGGCAGTGTAAGATATGCTAATATCACTCCCATACTGAGAACTAAAATCACGAATGTCGGAGACGAACTGTTCAATGAAAACAACTTCATTATCTTCTTTAGTTATTGTGTCGATCAATGCTAAAACGTCCACCATCTTGAATGTTTTGACAGTCTGTCGTCGTCAAAGGACGATGTTGTTTGTTGCTGTTGGCTAGACTGCTGCTGAACAAAAAAGGTTTTGGTAAAACGGTAAAACCCGTTAAACATCAAAGTATTGAGATAGTAACGAATCTTCGATTACATTGACGTGTAAGTATGACTTCATCGACTGCCAGCCTAGCGTTTGCATCATTTTTCGGCTAAAATTCCCCTTTCAATGTTGGCAATACTCTCGTCCTTTGCCTTTTCGCGTACGTTTCGAACAAGCGGTGATAACGACAATGTCGCCTGTTTGAAAAGGAACACTTCGCGCAGGATCGGAACCGTTGTCCCGTTTATGTTTCATGTAATTGGCATGTTTTTGTCCTTTGCTATCAATCTCACTTATCCGCAGCGCCCCGCCGAGACGGGGTCGCTTGCCGGCGTGATAACCTCGGCGCGCCGCCAGAGTGTCGATGTGATGTCGCCTGTCTAACGTGGGTCTGTCTCTGTTTGGCTCCGCTCTGCTCTAGGTTGGTCGGTAGAAAACTGTCGGCGCCCTAGCTTCAGCTTCTCGCCGTGCGCAGACATGTGACGCTACGTCGAGGACAACAACGCCCGTGCCAGCCATCAGTGGCCATCAGCCCCCAGGGCTGCCCGCTCCGTGTTTCCAGCCTCGAAATGCCCCGGCCTGGTCCTCGGCCGACGTCTCGACACCCAGAGTCCCGTCGACCCGAAGGCTGCCCTCCGCCGGGCCGTGTGTTTCAGTCACTCTGAAGTGGAGTTGCAAGCGAGCGCAGCATAACGCTCGGAGTTCCATGTCTTTAAGACCTAGATAATGGTCCTCTCACCAACCAAGTCAAAGAAGCCGCTGACCAGTAAGCAAGCCGCCTCGAGTCGAAATACCGCCAGCAGCAGCAATAGCTTTGGTAAGAGATTATGCCCCAACTGAAGAATTATTTGGAGCTCTCACTGTTCATTTACAAGCTGAACGAATAGTGTGTTATGGTTGTTAAATGATTGCCCTGTTCTGTCCATCATATCAAAGATTTTCTCATTAGCGGCAGAGAGTTCAGTTTGATCACGTACTTTGTGAGATGGATATTAAGTGGTCAGTGTCGAACCAGTTTTGATTTGAGGTTGCATGCGCACTTTCACTGTAGATGTATGAGAAGATATTGTCTATTTATAACTGGATTTATTGTGGGATGAATTGTGAATGAATCAGTTGTCTCATGCTGGTATCAGTAATGATCAGGAATTTTTTCTGGGGAACAATTTGTTGCTTTACATGTGTCAAGTTTATTAATTTTATTTTGTACCATGGGGATGCTTGTGGTATTTGTAATCACAACTTGATTTTTTCCCAAGATTTCCCGCCTGAGGATTAGAGCTGTCAATGAATGTAGTTGCAAGATTTTAACGACTTATAATAATAATAACAATTTGATGGTTACTTAGTTTGGTATTTCATATGTTCAGTTTTTCAACTAATCTTTATTTTCTTTCTTTTTCCAGGAGCTCTAAAACTGCAAAAAGGTTCTAAACCTCTGACTGGGAAAGCATTCTTTTTTGACATAAAGAATCATAGTACTGCGTCAAAGCTTGAAAGCACCATCAAAAGTTACGGCGGGGTGAGTAGTGTGGTTAGGTTATTTAAATGTCCTGTCGGATCCAGATAATCTTCGCCTTGGCAATGGTGACGATCCACACCGGAGCCGGGCAGCCAGTTGTTGCTTTGGCAGTGCGGACAGTGCTTCGACGTTAGTGACGGCCCCTGGGCCGGTGTCACCGCCTTCCTGCAATTGGCACCTCCGCGGGGCCGAGGCGGCCGCGGCCGCGGGGCGCGCGAAAGGCGTGTGGCGTATTCAAATGAAGAATCGCCGGCTGGCGAGTGGCGGCTTGGCGGCCGGGCGGCGCTTCGCGGGGCCCCGCGACTGACGTCCTGTCCGCGGCCCCGCACTACACGGAGGCGTCGGAGCGGCCTCCAGCGGAAGGGGCTGCCGGCGCCGTGGCGACGCTGCGCTGCGCCACCTCGGGGCGGCGAGGCGAGGGCGAGAGTTGGCTGTTCGCAGTGCCCTTCGGGCCCTTCGCTTCGATCGTCGGCGGCCTCTAGGCGCGCCCTCTTGGCCAGGCTGGGCTGGGCCAGCCCTCTGGGCGCGGCTAGCTGCGGACGACCATGCCATTCCGGGGTATTCTCGACGCTGCGCCAACGCTGCGCCACACCAAGCCGGGGGGACGCTGGCCGACGCCTCGCTCCCCTCGCCGCTGCCGACTTCGCGACGAGATGGGACGGGCTAGCCTGGCTCTGCCTGGGCCGCTGGCCGGGGGAATGGGGAATGAGGGAGCGGCGGCTGCGTTGTACTGTGTTGCGTTTGACGTGCCCCCCGCGCCAGCATTGCCAGCACCCCGCGCCCCGCGCCTGCCCGCTGACCCCGGCACCGCACCCAGCCCACCCCGCACTCCCTGCTCTCCCCGGTGGAGCTGCGGGGAAGGGGTGGCTGACTGGCGCGGGACGTGGGGGCTCCCCGACGGCCAGCCGACGGCCCACCAGGACGTTGCGCGGTGTTGGCGGTGTCCTGCAGTCCCGCAGGCTAGGTTAGGACGGAAGCGGGCGTCGTGACTTCCCTCCCCCTTCCTTGCTGTCATCGCCGCCACTGCGCGTCTCAAGTCTCGGCGGTCTTGGCGGGGCGCGGGCGGCGCGGGGCCGCGGGGCTTGGAACACTACTCTGTGCTTCCCTCCCCCTCGGGGCTGCGTCGGAATCAGGCCGCGGTTGTTGGCCGCGCTCGGCGCTCGGCACGCCGCGGCGCCGCGGTCGAGGACGGAACGGACTACGACGGCTGTTTTCGGTTTCTAGTTTTCCGGACGCAGCGCGACGCCCCTCCCCCTCCCTTTGCCGGGCGGCCTCTCTGCCTCACCGCGCCGTGGCCATGCGGGCCAAGCCAGCCAGCAAGGCAGTGGGGACCGTAGGGGACCGGCCGTGAGCAGGAAGGCAAGGCCCGCAAGGCCCCTCGCCCGGCTGGATTTAGCGTTAGCGTCCGAGTCTGGGGAAGAGCTTGACGGCGTCCTGGCTGCGCTTTGTCTCGCCGTCGAGGCGCTGCAGTGCTGGCGGGGGTTGGTCAACGTGGAGGGCGCGCCGGAACCGGCATCGAGACGGCCGCCATCTTGGAGCGCGGCAGGAGGAACTTCCCTCCGACGGATCAGGCCGATCAGGGGGATCTCGAAGTTCGTTCGATCGGCATGTCGAATCCTGCGTGCGTTAACGCGTTAACAGTGGCGACGCAAGCACGTTTCACTTATCTTATTTTTCAGAGTGGCGATGCGTCGGCGCCTTATCGGGTACTCGAGCGAGCGTACGCCGTACGCACCGCAGCTGCTCTGCATGCGAGTGTAGCGGCGCGGCGACACAACGTAATGACGGCCGCGGGAAGGTCGCCGTCGTGCTGGTGGGCCTAGAGGACGACGCGTGCCTCTCCCGCGATGCGCTTGCAACGTCTCTAGTTTTTCCCTTGACTCACCGCCCCGCCTCGCCTTGGCTGTGGGATGGGGCCGCCCACCAGGGCCACCCAGGGCCCTGCCGGCCCTGCCACTTCCAGACCCGCTTGGTGGCGGCCGGTCCACCCTGGCCATCCCCCGGCCACCCACTCAACGGCGCGCGCTTTCCGCCCGGCCACAATCGCTGGCAAAAGCGGCAAATTGATTGATCGCGCCGTTTGGGCTGGTTTGCGCTTGCGGCCGGTCCCCGTCGGTCCCCGTCCCGGGCCTCGTCTCGTCGGGGCCCTGTGCTGCTGCCTGCCCGTGCGCCGTGTCTGCCTGTCCGCTGCCACCGCTACCGCTGCTACCCGGCGGAGGCGCGGGCTGCAGCGGTGGCGGCCGCGGCAGCAGCATAGCCCAGCACAGCCTCGACGGCCTCAACAACGGCGCGCTCCGCTCCCGCCGCCGCCGCCGCGCCGCCATCTTTTCTGACGGCAGCGCTGCTGCCCCCTGGCGGCGGTGGCTGGCAAATAAGCTGTAAACGTTTCGAGGAGAAAAGCCATTTTGTGACAGGCTGAATGCGTTGATTTATTGCTGGGAAATTGGTTTGCCGAGCAGTGCGAGTGTTGTGGAAATCGTGCGTGCGTGTGTGGGCCTTTGGCTGTCGAGGCGGCGTTGGCGGCTGGAGGCGGGGCGCTGGAAAATGGCGAGGTAAGAGGGACAGGCCTCGTCGTAGTGGCTGCCACAGAGACTCTGCCTCCTCTCCTCTACGTCGTGCGCCGAGTCGGGGCTGGGCTGCGCGCTCGCGGACGCTTGGACGACGGCCTCGCCAGATTGTGGACATTTTTGTGAGCTTTACATTGCGGTGCGTGGTGCGGGCGGTTTAGTGTTAGAGGGTGTCGACGAGGGCCTCCCGGCCCCCCTGCCCTGTGATGGTGGGCCTTGGTGGCTCTCGCTCGGCCTCTCTCGGCTCTCTCTCGCTCTGGACGCTCCGTGCGGCTGCGTCGCGCGCTCGCGCTGCGCTTTCCCGACATTTTGACGGCTCGCTGTGACGGGCACGTCACGTAAACGTGACTGTGTTGTCCGTTAAAAAGTGACATTGTTACTCTTCCCCCCCTTCCTCAGCCCGCCCCTTGGACGGGAGCAGTAGCTGCCAGCAGCAGACTCGGGGGGCCGTGTTGAGGTTATGTTACCCCCTTGTCTTCGGCCGTCCCCGATTTTTGTTGGGGTTTTGCGCCCGATGCGTTGTGCTGCGTAGTGCGCTTTTGGCTTTGCTCTCGATTGGATTTTCTTGGTTTCGCGCGGTTCGCGGGCGAGCCGTCTTAGGCCGCCCGCCCGCGCTCCGAAATTGGGTTGTTTGTAAACAATGTACTTGTGACATACATTTGTCACGCGCGACTTTCCATGTTAATTCTGTGTCGATTTAGAAAAATATTTTTTGTGCTGTGTCTTGATTGAGTTAGGCTATTATGGTTTGTTTCATTTCTTACCACCAGTACTCACTATTTTTTTATACTCTGTCTTGTGTTGAATGACCTGTCAAAACAAATAATCCAGTTGCTCATTGTGAGTCCTAACAGTATGGAAGTCTTTCATTCCGTGATATATACTCCTTAATTTGAGGACTCGAGCAAAATTATACTATGATTGGTTAGACTGTTCTTCTGTGAAATTTAAGGCTCCTGTATTAATCTTGGCAAATTTCATTTCATTTGTTACAGGTGGTCAACCCTTTTCTCGGGAAAGATATTAGTCTTGTAATTACTGACAAACCAGAATGGGGTGGTGCTGTACCAACTGCAGCTGCAGGGAGTCCTCTGTACGCAGGGGGAACCCCTAGGCCTTCACCGTCCCCATCGCCTCTGCAGCATCTGTTCTCTCCTGCTGCATCCCCTGCTGGAAATAGTCGGGGTTCTAACTTTTCACCTTCCACCCTTGATTCGCCTGGAGAGTCAACTGGAGGAGGAAGGCGTGCACCCGTAAGAATTAATCCAATTTGTTACTTTATGCTGTAGATTGTAGACATCGAAATGTGGTTTTAAATTAATTAATGTTTTACAAAACACTTATTTCTGATTCCTTTTATTCTTGTTCTTCATTTTAGAAGTCTCGAGCTGAGGCTATGCTAGAGAGAGTACGAGCTCAACCACAATTTAGAACAAGGGATCCGCTAGTGGATGCTCAGAATTGGGGATTAAACATTTGGTCCGTTGAGAAGGTAAGTTCATGTTTAGTCAAGATAATGAATGAATTTTACTTGGTTTCTTCTGTCCTTGCTTTTAAACAATACAATCCTTTTTTACAGATTTTGCGACTTTTTCAAAAAATTGCCCAAGGCCAGAAGAAAAGTGTCAATGACACTCCCATAGTTCCACCCAAACGTAAATCTGAAACAACCTGCAGCAAAGTAAGACTTCGCACGGGTAAATTTTTTGTCAAAATCGAATCTGCTGACAGGTACAGTCACTTTCTATAGCATTGACATCATCCCCTTCAATGTAGATTTTTATCGACTAGCATTTTAACTGTCTTCCTCCATCTTTTTCTTAGAAATTACAGGCCCTCATACAAAGATCTCCCTTGCTGGCCCACAATAAATTTGGACTCTGAACCTGGAACTTCCCCTTTTGTGCTGAAGCCTGCTTGTTCAGCAATTAAAGCTCTGGTTTGCAAGGAACAATCGGCATCTAAGCAAGCAGGTGCTCAACTGCAAAATAAAGGGCAAAGACCTGTTCTGAGGAGATCTCCTAGAAAGAGAAATTCTCCCCAGAAGCAAAATTCTCCTACTAAAAGGAATGCTGCAACTTCTCAGTCTCAAAAGAAGTGCACAAACTTAGTTTTCCAAGACAAAGAAAGGTATTTATCATTACTGAGATATACTGTTAAATCTATTGTCCATTCATCAAGGTGTTATTTTTTAAAAATTAATAATATTTTTGTTTAACTTTTAGCCCTCCAAGTCTTGTACCCCCCAGACCCCCATCCAAAAGGCATCCTGACAGAGCACTTTTTCCTGACTATGAACCTTTGGCTGGGTACTGTGAGATTTGCAAAGTAGATTTTCAAGATCTGAGGAACCATTGCCAAACAGATGGCCACAAAGAGTATTCTATGAATGATGAAAATTATGCTCAACTTGATAGACGCATTAATTCTCAAGCTTTGACTGCTGAGACATTTATCAACCTCATTACTCCTGTGACCACGAGGTAAGAATAATTATTTATGGTTTTGTGGGACAGTTTGATGACTGCACTGCCCCCTTTTATTTAGGAGGGGATGAGATTTGCTTTGTGGTCAAAGAAAACATTGGAATAGTAATTACTTATGGTTTCGTGTTACAAATGAGAGATGTTATGTATGTGTTTTCATGGAAACTTTCTTGCGTTTTGTGGTTTACTACTTCTTCCATATCTCTCAGTCCTTGGTTTTTGTACATTGAGGGTCTGTTGAATTTTTATTATTCTCTTGGTGTGTGTCACCTCAATCATGTTCTGCTTTCTTTAGTCTGCAATTTATCTTCAGGTTTCAATTTCATTCTATCTTTTGAGATCTTCATTTCATCCTTAATAATATTATTATTTTTTTTCATAAAAGAGAGTATGTAAAGAAAAAAAAGAGGGAAAAGAGTGTTTTGGTGGGAAAGAGTGTTTGAATGATGAAACTATTAGAAATATTTGCTCATGAGTCAGTATTTTCATTTTAGGGTGATTGTTCGCATGTGAATAAAAGCAGAATAAACATCATTTGCGGCACTGGATCAATTGTATGTAGTGTTACGTGTTGCATGACTGGGTTTTAATATTTTGTGGTGTTGGAAGGGCTTGTTCTGAGACTCTGTCTCTGACTCCCATTCCATTTGTTGGTGCTCAACAGGAACAGCAAGCCTGAAGGTCAAGTTGGTCCTGCACTGGCAGAGGTCAATGATGCTGAATCAGAATCAGTTAACATGAGACAACCTGTTGATGATCGGCATATTCCTGCAAAAATGGTTGGAAGGAAAGAAACTTTGGAGGTGAGACAATCCTCTATTTAATGTGCTTTTGCATAGAAAATACTGTTATGGTTTCGCATTTTTTATATATTGTCATTACATCCTGTGTTTATCAATGTTTTCTCAGGTTCAATGTAATGGAATCCCAAATCATGTTCAAACTCGCTTCACCTGCACCAAGGGTGACAGGGAGAACTTAGGTGGCATCTTTCTTGATGAAAGGCTCACTGCTGCTCAGTTAAGAAAGAGGCGGTCAATATCAGTAAGTTGCAAGGACTTGCTCGAGATTGCGCCTTCATCTGAAAGGACACATTATCTCCGATCAGGTAGACCTGCTCGAAGCGAACTCTCACAGCTTTCTCCTGCGTTAAGTGACAACAGCCATCCGTTGCTGAACAGTAATAGCCAACAACCTCTGCTGTCTCCCACTCTCAGTGAAAGAGGACATCATTTAAGAACTAGAAGCCAGATTTGGTCTAATGTTATAGAAGAAGAATCTTTGCTTGTCACTGCCAACAACCATTCTGATAAAGAAAAAACTGAAAAGTCTGTTGACAAGGTTGAAAAATCTGAGAAGGGTGAAGGGTCTGACAAAGTGGATCAAACTGACAAGCTTTCTCCCCAGGACGGTGCGATTAACGGAGATGCGGAGGAGGAAAAAGATGTGAAGGAAACCAATGACCGCGAACTAAGACCCCCTCGCAATCAAAGTAGAAACCGATCCATAAGGCGAAAAAGGCTATCAGCTGAAGAAAAGCTCATTGAAGACAATAGAGGCTACTACAAGGTTGAGGTCTTAAATAGCAAGTTAAGATCCACAGGTTTATTTGTAAACCAAACAAACCAAGGGGAGGGTGCTGTCAATGGCTGTGCCTCAAATGGTCCTGGACGATCAGGATCGCAAGAGGGAAAAGAGCCAGTCGTTGTACGCTTCAAGAAAGTGAGGCGTTCAGAGCTCTCTGTTCTCAGCGATGAGGCAGAAAACTTCATGTTCGGTGAACAAACTAGAAGTGACACTAATTCAGATGACTCCTCGGAATCTGCAGAAGAGGAGGAGGAAGAAGAGGAAGAAGGAGACCTAGAAGAAGAGGATGACGATGTGGAAGATGACGACAATGACGAAAGTGGAGGGACTGATGCCAATGGGGTCAGTGAAAATGGTACTGATAGCAGCCGCAGCAGAAGCAGCCAGAGAAATGGATGTAGGAGTAGCCGGCGTCATACTAGGCTAAGACTAAGGGTGAGTCTTCTATTATTACCATGTATGTTCGACAGAACAAAGTGGTTTATGTTTATTTTGATTTGAAGGTGTTGGGCATAGTTCTAAGTTGTTGAATTGTTGCAGGTCGGGGCTGATGGAACCTATACCCGTTATGCGGGTGCAGAAAGTGGTGGAACCAATCAGTCTAATAGTTCGGAATCCAATGGCTTCCGAAGTTGTCGGAAACGCAGATCTCAAGCTGAAGCATTTATCAGTGACAATATAGACTATTACAAATTCGAGTTGTCTGGGTCACGATTACGAGTGCATGGTTCTCCCACTTCTGGTGATGTGGAGGATTCTGTGAAACAGGAAAAGAGTAAACTGCCTGTCATGGAAGAACCCATTGCCAGTGTAGTAATTGATGGAACTCCATGTCCTCTTGAAGATCTTCATTTTTCGTTTGAATCAGTGCCGAGCTCAGAGGTTTGGTTCCAAACCTTCCAGCGTCAGGACAGAGGAGAAGAACTTGATTTTCCCTCTGTTAGTGAGCCAAGTTCTGTTGTGCTTCCATATCAAATCCCTAAGCAGCGAGATCCTAACAGAGGTCTCCAAGTATTGGGCAAGAGGAGAAGTAGAAACTCAGTGCGACTTCCTAGAAAATCTCCCCGCTGTCATGCTTCAACTCTTGCTATTCTTTCTAGTGTAGTGAAACGAAGGAGCAGTAAAGACCCTGGTCCTGCTCCTGCTGCAGCAGCACCTACTGAAGATGCTGCGCCTGACCTTATTCCAGAAGTAGAACCAAAGAACGCATTAGCAAAACAATCTCAGCCCAGCACAAGTGCCTCTGCTGATCAGCAAGCAACTCTTGCTGCTCGAATTGATCGTTTGAACGGTGAGGAGGAGATTCAAGAAATAGCCAGAAGCATAGATTCTATGCTTGGTCTTGTACCTCCCTCATCTAGTGACCTGGAGAAGGATCTAGAAGTGACTCAGCCAAAGCCCACCAAAGGGCGTGGCCGTAAAAAGCAAGCAGTAAGCAAGCAGCCAGCTCAAGTGATTGCAGTGCCTGCAGTCAATCCGGATCCAGTGCCAGAGAGTGAGAGAGAGAAGGACTTTACACTAAATTACCTGGTTGATCCTGCAATCTTAGATGAATTGGCGTGTACCTGTGATGTTATCTCAGACCCAAGAGGAGGCCCTACCATGGACATTTTAAGCCTGCTTGACAGCTATTCTGAGTGTTGTTGCCTTGAAGATTCAGCATTCACTGATCATGGTATTGATGCCTCGTGTAATAGCTCAGAGTGTGGAGCTTCCTCAGTGTGTGATAATGACAGACGGATGCGCAAGAAACGGAAACGAAGGATAAATCAAACTGGGTGGGACAAACCAAAACGGAAATGCATGCTCAGAAGAGATGCTGTTGGTCCTGTATCTGATGAACAAGAATCTTTGAAAGATCCTTCTAGTAAAGACAGTTTAGAAGAATCAGAAACATTGACCTCCCAAGACAGTGAATCAAGTGTGCATAAAGTTCCGAACAGTATTTCATCTCCCCCTTCGTTCCAAAGGAAGTGTGGATCTAAACGGAAACTTCGTAGTTCATTAGCTTTAACAGACTCTTCACGTAAAGGTAATATCTGTGGGCAACCGCGGATAAATGTGATGAAAATGGAGAAGGATGGGGAGGTATCTATTCCCTCTAAGAAGGGGAAAGGCAGAAAAGTACGTAGAATAGGATGGTCAAAGGCCAGATGAGGTTGTATAGTGTCATAGATGTAAATCCATTTTGTGTTCAGTAGTATATCTGTGAATGCCCCTATCTGCCACCTAGTCTTGAAGCTTTGTTGCAACTGCCAATTCAATTTATTTCTACTCTAGCACACCAAGTGTTAGCTCGTACTTGGTGCAACCTTGATGCCTTTCAGTGTATATTAGTAAAAAGTTACTTAATATTGATTTTATCAAATTTTATCAATCCAAAGAACAGCAGCAATCCTGTATCTTGTCAGTTCTGTAAGTAGAGAAATGTTTTGTATATGTGTTTATATGACAGTTTTTAAAGAAATTTTTATATGATTGACTTGTTTCCAAATTTTAATTTCATTTATCTAATACAGCGCCTTAGCTGTTTTGTATATCTCCTGTGTAATGTAGTAGTTTGTACTGATTTATGAAAGTTTTCTAGGCGTTTCCTTCCATGTATCTGAACTGTTGTGTGCTCTTGTGATGTCAAGTGTAACATTGAATGAATGAGTGTAAATTTTTGGTACAAAAGCTTATGGTGTAAAATCAGACTCTAGGATTTTGTGTGGGTATTCAATTTGTGTGAAGCAATAGCAATAATATCTTTTCTAAAATAGTATGAATTTCTTAAATCCAACCTCTATTCAAAGCCTTATATTGAACGTTATCTCTGATCTAGAAGTGTTTTGAATTTCATATCAATGCTCCTGATGATCTCTTATTTATTTATTTTCTTTTGAAAATGACAGTTTTCTTTAAATGATGTGCCCTAACTACTGAAGTGTTTGTGACCCTGACATCCTGATTATTATTATTGCCTATGGCCACTTTTGTTTAAAATCATAGTTTGACTTCAAGATCTGAAAAAGGTATCATAAAGTGTTGAACAGGGTTTATGAGGTAAGTTTAGTGTGGTTGTATGTCTATTGTGTACTTACAAATGCACTAAACTTGTCACAAATCAAGCGAATTACTTTTTGAGATCAGACTTTGTCGTACTGCATAGGTATTTCTTTAGTTTTGTTTGTTCCTTTCTTTGTTCTGGCTTTAAATTTGTGAATCTTCTATCCCTGTTCAACTGAAATATTCTAGTATTTTATTTCTCAAACTTAAATTTATTTCATTTGCGTGCCTTTACTGTTGTCAGTGGTAATGTTGAATGATGCCAAATTTCATGAGATGAAAAATGTCTTATCTTAGTGGGATCTTCAGGAACATGTTGAGCTAATATTCTGCTTTAGTGCTGTATAGTTCAATTGTTCAGTGGCTCTGGCTCATGTAATTAATTTAATCTGTCAAGTTAATAAGTGATCTGATTTCACTTCAAACACATCTGTGGAGACTGTTTTGGCAACTGTGCATGTTTGTCCTGGATATTTTTTATTGAAAATGAGCATTTGCAACTCATTTTTTTGTCGATTTGAAGAGGAGAGAAATATTTACCTATTTCTGTCAAGAGCAATACAATATCTTACTAATTAGATGACTACATGGAGCCAATTGGTAATAGATTTATTGTCTTCTCATGCATTATTTTTGTTTGTGTCAGAAGGACCACTCACTGCTTAAAATAATCATTCTCTTGTACTATTGAGGAGTTGATGTTGCTCATGTAAGCACTGCCATGCCATTTGTGAACATCATTTTTTATGAGACTTACTGTTTGCTGCATTAGCATTAAGAAATGTCATGATTCTTAAGACTGGCTCTGATCACAGTATCTCATATCACGAACACCATGGTGTATGCATGAAATGACTGTCCCATTTTTAACAAACTATTTTTCATGCAAATATTATAAAGAAATACTTAGGCCAGGACAAGCACAGTTTGCCATGCCATCTTTTAAAATAACTGCCATTATTTTAGGAACATCTGTGCAATCTGATGCATAGATTCTCACTTGAGTAATTAGTGAGACTTATTGTAAGTTCATTCTTGTAAAGTGAAGAACTACTCTAACAATGTAATTATATTGATAATGAATCACATTTGATGCTATGTTACCTATATTCTGTGGGAAAATTGTAAGTAATATATTTTTCAATGGAGAAAGTGTCTATGATCTACATCTGTGAAGGAATTGTAGACTATAAAGAAAATACAGTTTCTGTTCCGTCAAACCTGAACCTTTGACTTATTTTTCCCTCTCTTCCCATATTTGAAGGTACCATGCAAATGGGAGCTCATTATAAAAATGACGAAATTAAGACTCAAAATGAGATTTGAATTAGCACAACCTTGATAACACAAGCACTCGACAATACGTCCCCTCCCCCAAAAATAAAGAACCGCCTTCACGCAGTCATACGATGAGCAAGCCATGCGCCTGCGTGCTGGGCGTTAGGCAACCCAACGTACACCAACAAAAACAAAAAAGACACAGGAGATAAAGCTGACACGGAAGCCGAATCCGAACGCCTGATTCCGTCCGATGAGAAATAAGCTCGCGCACTGCCACACTGATAGTCGAGAACAGCTGACTATTTGGACGAGCCAGTACGAGCCGTCGGCTAAAGCCGGTAGGATGGGGTCGGTGGCACCGCTGCTGCTGCTCTGGCTGGCCGCGTGGGTGGTGACCGAAGGTGAAGTAGTACCGTCCGCGGCAGGGCTGAGCTGACTCGCTGCCAAATCCAATTCAATTTTCAGTTGAAAATGAGGGTTAGTGCCGCTGACGCTTGGCGCGCTGCAGGCCGGCAGGGCTTCGGCGGAGGCGGCCAGGAGTACGGCTACGTGGAGGTCCGCCCCGGCGCGCACCTCTTCTACTGGCTGTACTACGCGCAGGGCGGCGACGCACCGGCCGGACGGCCCCTCGTCGTGTGGCTGGAGGGCGGCCCGGGGGCCTCGGCCACCTCCTACGGCAGCATCGGCAAGCTGGGGCCGCTCGACCCCGCGGCGCAGCCCCGCAACACCTCCTGGGTACGCCCCTGGGCCCTGGCCCTGGGCTCTGGGTGCCACAACTTCATGGCCTTACACATGCATCGCCCTGTCTCGTCGTTTGCGTTTGGCCGTGTTTGGCATCCGTCTTCTCCTACAGCATCGCGTGCTTGTGGGCCTCAGCGCCTGCGAGGTAGGCAGTCGGTCAGTCTCGCAGCACACCGCTGTGGAGACGGTGGCCTACCTGGCCCCTGTGAAGACGACAGGGCCAGGGTAGGCCACCGTCTCCACAGCGGTGTGCTGCAGGACGGACTGGTGGCCTACCTCGCAGGCGCCATGGGGCTAAAAGACGGGCTGCTTCACCTCCACGGCGACACCGCACATTACACTTTTAAACGCCTCGAGATACAAACGCGATCCCGTTCCACCTTGCCGGCTTCTGCTCACAGGTCGACCACGTGAACCTCATGTTCGTGACAGCCCCGTGGGGACGGGGTACAGCTACGTGGACCAGGCGTCCGCCCTGGCGCGCTCCAACCGCCAGACGGCCGACGACCTGGTGGAGATGACGCGCCGCTTCCTGGAGCAGTACCCCCATTTCCAGGGCGTCCCCTGGTACATTTTCGGCGAGTCTTACGGCGGCAAGGTGGCTGCCGAGTTCGCACTGCGTCTCTGCGAGGTGAGTGGTGGGTCCAGGTTCGAGTACTGGTGGTTGCGCTGTTTCCCACCGGACTCCTTCGCAGGAAATAGAGGCCGGGCGTCTGTCCGCCAACTTTAAGGGGGTCGTCATGGGCGACTCGTGGCTGTCCGGCGTGGCCCACGTCGACTCCTGGGCACCCTACCTGTTCCAAATGGTGAGCGCGTGGCTTCCCTTCGGTGGCTGATCCAACCCCGCTCCTCTCCACGGTCCTGCAGCACTGCGAACATTGCGCAGGGTATGGTCGACTCCCGCGACCGCGACCAGCTTGCCGAGGCGGCCGCCAGAGTGCGCGCGGCGGCGGAGGCGGCGCAGTGGCAATACGCCACGACTCTGTGGTCCGCGGCGTGGCAGCTCATGACCACCCTCACAGAGGGCGTCAACATCTACGACGTGCTGGCGCCCATCAAGTCCGAGGGCGGTGAGCATAGCGCAGCCCTTTCGGAGACAATGCACTGGCAAAACTGAAGCCTAGCTGTGGGCGAACAACGCCGCGTTACGCCTTAGTTTTACCAGTGCAGCGCGCAAACAGTGCAAACGGTGACGGTGCTCTGTGGGCGCAGGCAAGGGCGGCAAGCCCGTCGTGCCCTGCGGCTCCTTCGAGATGATGAACGGCGACGTGAAGCGCGCCCTGGCCGTCCCGGACGCCGTCACGCACCTCAACGACAACAGCGCCGTGTTCTCCGCGCAGTACGCCGAGTTCGTGCAGCCCGCCACCGGCACAGGTAGCGCCGCACAGTGGGCCAGAAGACCGGTGGAGGCGGACAAAACTCCAGACGCGTTTTGAGCTCCAGAGTGGCTAAACAGGCCTCGAAGCGAACATGTGACCCCACCAATGGATTCCTCGTTTGGAGAGCAATCCATTGGTGGGGTCACACGTTCGGTTCGAGTCCCATTAAGCGACTCTGGAGTTTTGTCCGCCTCCACCGGTCTTCTGGCCCACTGTGCGCCGGGTGCAGTGCCGCGCCTGGGAGGTCCGCGTCGAAGCGGCCTGGTGGATGACACGCCCTGGCGCGCTTTGGTCTTGGTTGCAGTCGAGCAGCTGCTGCGGAGGACCAACTTGAGCGTCACGGTGTACGCCGGCCAGCGCGACGTGTTCACCAATATACCAGGTGGGGGTTCAATTCAACACTTTTCACGGGAAGAGGAGGAACTTTGTTTTTCTGCCTGAGCACGTTCAGTTTGTTGTTGTTGTTGGTTTCACAGGCACTATGGCGTGGGTGGAAAGCCTCCGCTGGCCGCTGGCCGACACATTTCGCGCCGCGCCCAAGACCCGGCTGTCCGTCGACGGCGAGGTGGCGGGCTCGGTGAAGCAGGCCGGCACGCTGACCGCGATCCGGGTGTACCGCTCCGGCCACGTGGTGAGTAGCATTCACCTAACCAAATCAGACTCAGACTGTCGACGTCCCTGCCATTTCCGTTTGCTCGCAGATCGCCCTCGACTATCCGGCCGCCGCCCTGGCGATTCTCCGACTTGTGACCCAGTGCGACGACCCGGCAGCCTAGTGCAGCGGTTCTCAATCTTTCTCGGCTCGCGACCCCAAATTTGTAGCCAAAAATTTCCGCGACCCCCAGGAAAAGTTTCGCGACCCCACGGGACCCCTCCTTTAGCATGCCACTGCGTCTGATCCGAGGCGGGCATTTTGCTCCCTCAACGGGCAATTGGTCTTTGGACCTTCCTTTAGCATGCCTCTGTTACGGAGTGCGATTATCAGTCTTAGTTTGGGAGCAGTATTGTCTCAAAGTTGGCCAAAACGCTCAGAAATGTCTTTAAAAAATCATGTTTTGGGTCGATTTTAAGCAGCCACTGCGTCTGATCCGAGGCGGGCATTTTGCTCCCTCAACGGGCAATTGTTCTTTGGACCTTCCTTTAGTATGCCTCTGTTACGGAATGCGATTATCAGTCTTAGTTTGGGAGCAGTATTGTCTCAAAGTTGACCAAAACAGGCACAACGATTTTTCAAAGACATTTCTGAGCGTTTCGGCCAACTTTGAGACAATACTGCTCCCAAACTAAGACTGATAATCACACTCCGTAACAAAGGCATGCTAAAAGAAGGTCCAAAGACCAATTGCCCGTTGAAAGAGGACGAAATACCGCCTCGGGTCAGACGCAGTGGCTGCTTAAAATAGGCCCAAAACACGATTTTTCAAAGACATTTCTGACCGTTTTGGTAAACTTTGAGACAATACTGCTCCCAAACTAAGACTGATAATCACACTCCGTAACAAAGGCATGCTAAAGGAAGGTTCAATGACCAATTGCCGGTTGAGGGAGCAAAATGCCCGCCTCGGATCAGACGCAGTGGCTGCTTAAAATCGGCACAAAACACGACCCCAGCTACCTCGCCGCGACCCCTTAAAATTTTTTCGAAGGTTGAGAACCACTGGCCTAGTGCAACCAAACGTGTCTCATCGGCCACATTGAAGCTGTGCACCATCCTCGAATTAAAATTTGTACATTTACGTAAAACACGTAAAAATTGCTAGACAACTCTTTATTTGAAAGCAACTGCCATTCCGACTTTGCCTCACAGTCTCACGAACCAGTCTAATCAGTCCTCCTTGATCGCGTTCATGCCCGTCACCGTCTTGAGCACTTCGATCGCCGCCGCCGGGTTGTCAGCCGGGACCTGGAAATGAAATGGAAAGCAGTTTTAATTTCAGAAACTCGTCGTAAGCACGGCAGTGAGCAGGTCCAGGGTCCTGGACGCCGCCTAGGCGTCCGGACGGAAGGAGGGGCTGGAAAATCGCGCTTCCGCACTCGTGTCGCCAACCCGCGCCAACCCGACGAGCGCAAATGCGTTCGCCTGGCCGCCTGCGGACCTGAATCCTGAATCCTGAAACCGAGCCTGCATAAATGCATGCATATGCAGAGCCGTAGTGCCGCAGAGCGAGGGCGACGCACCATGTGCCCCGCCCGGTTGATCCAGTAGAAGTAGAAGTTGCCCGCGCTCTTCACGAAGCCCTCCACGATGCCGTCCACGGCGAGGGGCTCCCGGATGGCCTCGTTCACCCAGTAGCTGCCCATCTTCCAGTTCAGGCGCTCGGCCCACGCCACGGTGCCTGCGAACCACACCAACGAGGCGGTTTTGAATCCAATTTTGTTCGAGCCTCAGCGCCTGACGCGGCCTGATGTTAAAAGATTGCGCACCTGGCGTGTCGACGATGAGGTCCAGCTGGCCGGAGATGACGGCCACCTTCAGGTCGGTGGTGTTGAGGAGCCGCTCCACTGCGAAAGGAAGCGCAGCGCAACACCGCGTCAAACAACATTCGTCGGCCGTTATTCAAACGCATCGCGAGTGAAATCGCTTCAGCTTACCGACGTCGGTGACAGGCTTCATGAAGTCGCCGGCCAGCGCGTTGAACACCGCGGTGCTGGAGGTCTGGTGCTTGAGCCCGGCCGGGATCACCCCGAGGGCGGGCTTCACCTTGTCGTCCATCAGCCGGTTGAGGTCGTCGTCGGAGTCCCGGAGCACGTGGTTCGTGAAGAGCACCTCTGGAAGCACAGAGTTGAGCAACATTTGTCTTTTACGTTTCTACGTTTCCACCGGCCCCTGTAAATGACATGGACGGGGCGGGGCGTACGGCGGGGCGCGGCCGGGAGCTTCCTGCCCGCCGGCATGCGGGTCAGCACGTTGTAGAAGTCGACGCTGGTCGTGGACGTGATGAGAGTCTCCAAATCGCCCCACGCGTCCGTCGCCGCCTGCCACTGGCCTGTCTCAACGTTGCGCTGCACCGTCCGCGCCATCGCCATGATCGTGGTGTAACCCTTGGTGTCCACCATGCCCTGCAACCGCACAACCGGGACAGACCACACGTTGAGTAAGTTCCAGAAAGCCCGGCACCGCCGCAGGTGCCGCCCAGTGTTTGAACCCAGGACCTTTGCTACTTGGCGGCTATTATTGCGCATAGCTACCGCGATGCCGTGTCGGCTCCTTAATTTTCGCGCCGTTTCCTGGACCATCGCGCAGCTCGCAGTGAAAGGCTGCAGTCCGCGGCAGACGGACGGACAGACATCAGGCAGACAGACAGGCCGGCAAGCAGGCGGACCAACACACTGGACAGGACGCCTTTCAAGGCGGGTCCATCGTGCCGGCCTACAGGTTGCAGGCTGGCCGGCAGAAATTTTCCACCGCGCTCACGGCCTCGAGCGGCAAGCAGCGCGAGGCCTGGCGGGGCTGGCGGGCGAGAGGTCGCTGCGGCGGGGATGCATGCATATTCGAAGGCCACCCCCGCCCCGCCGCGGCGCCGCGGTCCGCCGCACACAACGCGGCCGACACGGCCACCGCGATGCAGGCCTTGCTGCAGGCCGCCTCCAGGGACCACTGCACTGGCCGCCCAGCCGAGGCGGCCCAAGCGAGAAATCAACGTTTGTTCATTTCGCGGTTTAGTTTTCACGTGTAGTAGCACTACGCACGGCCAGGCACGGCACGGCAGGGCATGGTGGAGGGGGTCTCCACTCCAGGCGTGGTGCGGAATCCAAACCAGTGTCGCGTAGTTGCGTTACAGAGACAACGGCTCGCCTGCTGCACTCTCTGCACTCTCGCTGGACCCAGCCCGGCTGGAACGACTTTAACCTCGTGACCCGCCTGTTGGCGGACACGGCGCCACACGCGCGTCGCCCGGTTCGCGACGAGGAAGGCGCGCACTCTGCACTCGGTCGCGTGGCGTCGCGTCGCCGTCAACGCGGAGGGGTTGACCGACCTGCGTAGTCGCCGCGCGCGGCCGCCCTGCGGATCCGGCGCTGCCGCTCGTCAGGGATCTTGGTCATGATGTTGTAGAAGTCGACGTTGTCCGAGTTTTCCATGGTGACCACCTCGGCCTCCCCCCACAGGCGGAACGCCTTGAAGAAGCGGCCGTCGTCCACGGCGCGCTTCGTGCGCTGGGCAACCTCGTCTAGGTTGTTGAAAGCGGGCCGGTCGAAAACGCCCTAGAGCGAGAAAGGGCCAGAGGGCGCCGAATGGCGCGGGCCAGCGCGTTAGCCTTGGCGATAGCAGCGTAGTGGCTCGGACTGCCGCCCACCGCCCTGGGTTCAAACACCACCCCGCCCTTTTTCGCGCTCTCTGGCGCCGGCCTCACCATTTGCAGCAGGTAGGGCGCCCAGGTGAGCACGGAGTCGATGGGCGAGATCCACGAGTCGCCCAGGCGATGCCCTTGAGGTTGCTGAGCACGGTGCCGGCCTTCTGCTCCTGGTACAGGTTGAGGGCGAACTCGGCGGTCATCTTGCCGCCGTAGGACTCGCAGAACACGTAGAGGGGGATCTTCTGGAACTGCGGGTAGGTCGTCATGAACTCCTTGACGAAGCTCACGAGGTCCGTGGCGATCTGGTGGTTGTTGGTGGCCAGCTTCGAGTAGTGGTCCGTGTAGCTGTAGCCCGTGCCCACGGGGTTGTCGATCAGCAGCAGGTTGACGTGGTTCACCTGGGGGACGTCGAGGAGGCCGTCAGGGGCAAAGTGCCTCGTTTTTCCTACCTCCCCCGTACCCACGCCTACCGCCACTCACCCACGAGGAGTCCCTCTTGTTGAGGTTGATGTCCAGCGGGCCGATCTCCATGAAGTTGCCGTAGGACGTGGAGGAGGCGCCGGGCCCGCCCTGCAGCCAGATGACCAGGGGCTTGTCGGCCGGCACCTCGCCGCCGTTCACGTAGTACAGCCAGTAGAACATGTGCGCGCCCTCGCGCACCTCCACGTAGCCGTACTCCTGGCCGCCCTCGCCGAAGCCCTTCTTGCCTGTACAGTGTGCACCCAAAGGAACAGATAGAGCGGTCCACGTCTCTCAATTTCTCTAGTACTGATAGGCGCTGGAACACCGCCCGTTCATCGCGGGTTCAGAACTGTTTGCTTCAACGTCCAGCCTGGCGTAACTGGAGCCCGGGCCTTTACCTTGCACGCCGCCGAGCGCCAGCAGAAGGACGATGGCGGCGCAGACGCCCGCCGCCTTGGAGCTAGCCGAGCTCGCCGAGCTGGCCATGGTCCTGGTCCTGGTGGCCTGCTTGTCCTGCCCTGCCGGTCGCGCAGGGACTGCGGCGCTCGTGACACCGGGGCGGCAGGGCGGCGGGGCGTTGTCGCCGTCGCGGAGCGTCTGCTTATCGCGCCAATCACTGGGCCGTCACCGGGACACAGCACCTCACCGACGATAAGCCTCGATAATGGCCCTCCGTCGCGTTGCGGCTTGAGTGAGTCCCGGCAAGATTTACAACCACCAGCAGAAGCCGGGTCGCAGTAACACCTCAAGAGCCCCAAGGCGGCGGTCCGGCAGGACACCGCACCGCACGCCGCCAGCCAGCAAGGCGTCGACCGACCAGTGACCGCGGCGGCGGGCGGCCAGGGCGGCCCGGGCGGCCCCAGCGTCTTTTCGATTAAGGAGTAAGGGGCGCTGCCGCATGGCTGCCGCACCACTCAGCCAGGTTGGGTCGGTCCCGTCCGGTCCCGTCGGTCCACGTCCACACCGCAAGTGCGTCACTCCACATCTTTCTCCGGGCGCTGCCGCCGCGGTGGTGCTGTACAGTCGGACTTGGCCGGCAGCGCCACGCCCGCTTCCACCTTCCAGTTCGGCGCGGAGGTCCGATTTGCGGTCGCGCCGCCGCCTTTTCGCGTGCCGACATTGCAGCGCCGCCGTACTGCGCAGCCCGGGCACGGCTTCCTTGTCGTCGACGCCGTGCTCCTGGAGGCCGAGCGAGAGCCGTCTGGGTCTGGGCAAGCCGGGGCAAGCCGGGGCAAGCAGCTCGCACTGAGGCCCGACCCGAGCTGCAGTCAGGGTCCCCCCCTCCCCCTCCCTTAATTTCGCCATCCCGATTACCATCCCGGGTCACATCCACGGCCACTCAGGCTGGCCCCACGCGATGCGTACGCGTCCTTGCAGTGGCGATACGAGCACGCCGTCCTTGGTGCTCACCGCACACCTTGCTCCACGTTGCCCCTGTTCGCACAGTGGTTTACCTCATTAAAATCACCGTTTCTACGTGAATTATTTGTCACGCCGACTTAGCCGGAAACAGGAAACACACGGCATGGAAACAGCAATCAGGTTTACCCTTACGAGGTGCAGTGCACCTCACCACTGCTGCCAACTTGACTCTAAGCATTTAAATTACTTCAGCCGTTGCCAACACGACATCTGCCATCGTCAGCCGTTCCCGGGGCGAGTGCCGGTGTAAGCGGGATATAGGGAGAGTACACCATCCCTAGGGATAGTGTACTCCCCTACCTCGAGAGGGGGGGTACATTGCCTAGGGTAGTGTACTATCCCTAGGGAGTGTCCGGGAGTCAATGGTCACGAGAGTATAATGCCCCGGCCAGACGGCCGTTCGAAGCGCGCGGCCGAAGCGCTGCAGGCTGCTACAGGCCTTCGGGTCCGCAGGTGTGCCTGGCCGGCCGGGGCTCGGCGGCTCGTCTGGGCGACAAGTAACTTATGAATGGAAAGAACCCAGCGTTCGCGCCACCGGCTGCGCGCTGCAATCCGCTGCAATCCTCGGCCTCTCGGCCCGTCCGTACACTGTCGGAAACGAGCCCACAGCCTCGCCGCCCCACCGCGCACCGCGCGCGGAGCCCAATTATGCTCCGGCCGCCCACAGACGCACCACGGACCCGCAGACGGCGAGCAAAGTGCAGTGCGGGTGCGGGTCGGTACTGCTCACGCCGTGACACGCTGTCCTGCCGGGACTCCCGCTCTGCCAATACACCCACTTTTTCACTGCGGACGCTATCATCACATTTCGGCGGACTTTGTCGCCGGTCCGGCCGACCCGGCCTATTGCACACTTTCATTTCTCTCGGCCCGCTAAACCAGTCCGCCAGTCCGCCAGTGTAGCGTGCGGTCCTTTTGGCGCCGCGGCAGCGACGGGCGATACGCGGCAATCGGGAGGAAGGAAGTAGAGGCGGCGGGGGAGGGGGGGGGTACTCCTTTTTCGGTTGCTGTGCGTCTCGTTCCCTCGGGAGAGCCTCCTGGCTCTGTCGCTCCCAACGAGCCGCCCACAGCTCGCACGGCGAGTGCGACAGAGAGAGAGGCTACGGAAGGGCGAGGCGAGGGGCCCTGGAGGGGCCCAGGGAGGGGGGCTTTGTTGCTGGAGGTGGACACGGGCGCGCACGGCCGGGGGGAAGGACCGGACCACGTTTCCCTCCACGTGAGACGCGCGGCCCCCCTCCCTTCTTCCACCACGCGTACTCCCGCGGCCGAAATATTCCAGCATCGCGCGGCCACGCCGCACAGTGGGCCAGAAGTCGGTGGAGGCGGCCAAAATTCGAGACGCGTTTTGAGCTCCAGAGTCGCTAAATGGGACCCGAACCAACCGTGTGACCCCACCAATGGATTGCTCTCAGGACGAGGAATCCATTGGTGGGGTCACACGTTCAGTTCGAGTCCTGCTTAGTGACTCTGGAGCTCAAAACGCGTCTCGAATTTTGGCCGCCTCCGCCGGTTTCTGGCCCACTGTGCCACGCCGGCCACACATCACAGCCAGTTTCCCCTCGCGCACTTTTACTCCTAACCTAACCCAACCACTCAAACAATTAGTAGTAGTTTGCAATTAATTTGAGCTCGTTATTGTTTTCAACTTCTCGTTTCCTCTCGCGCACCCAAAACGCTCTGCTCGCAGCAGGGCGGCCGTGGCGTAATACAGAAATGCGTTGCGGCGGGGCGTGGCGGGGCGTGGCGGGGCGTGGCGGAGCAGCTTGGCAGGGCCCAGGTGCAGGAGGGTCTCAAGCCACAACGGCACACACACACACACACACACACACACACACACACACACGGAGTGCGCGAGAGAGACAGAGTCGGGTCAGTGGAGAGAGACAGTGGCTAGTGCATTGAACGCGTGTGTGCGTGAGCAGCGTCTCTGCGACATAATTACAGTGTGGCTACGCCAGCTACGCCGCGACCGAAACGGAATCTTTTTCTCTTTTTCGTCTCCCTCCCTATTCATTGAGAAGCCCGCGCGCTGTGGCCGGCTTTCGCCTTGGCTTTCGCACGTTTACAATGGCCCTGCCTCGTGTCCCCCGTGTCCTTCGCAGGGCTTGTCGCTGGGCCTTCCCTTCCCTTCTCAGGGCGTTTCTCCACCTGCCCACCCCGAGCCGAAATAGTGAAAAAGACCCAGAGTTGGTGTTGGATTCCTAACTGAGCGTTTCTCGAACGGGCCGCTACACCGTAAGTCTTCTCCGAGCGCCTCAGCACAACTGAGTCTTTCTTACTAGTAATCGACGTGGATCCAGTGGGGAGGCGAAAGGGCAACTGCCCCCCCCCCCCACACACACACACACAGCCGTCCGAACGGCAGGCAAAAAGCCCTTCTCTGGCCCTTGCAAGGAGGCGAAAAGTGCACCATCGCCCCCCTCAGGGTGGCTCTGGACCCGCCACTGCAGGCGCAGCGAGGCGCAGGCCCGCCCTGTCCGAGGCGATATCGGCTGCAGCAACTAGTGCAGGAGTGCTGCAGCGGAGCAGGGCGGCCGGGGCGGCCGGGCAGACGGCGTGCAGTGGAGAGTTCAGAACCGGTTCCGATTGGCCCGGCCTGGCCCGGCCCGGCCCGAGATGCCGAGGGGCCCCGCCAGGCCCCGCCAGGCCCCGCTGCAAGGCGGCATTGGCTGCGAGCCCTGTGCAGGACGCTGTCCACTGCGCGTTGCATCAGGGCCGTACGCCAAAGCGTTGCGTCCGTCCGGCAGCAGAAGAAGACGGACGGCCTCAACAACAACAACAACAACAACAACAACGCGATACTTGAGAGGACTACCATTCATTAACAAGTTTAGCGCCTCTTGAAATTTCGACTCCGAGCCGCCGTTAAAAAGTCTTGCCAAATGCGTCAATGGAATGGCCTGGACGACCATAGAGAGGGCTCGAAGGCGCCCCGCACGTCATTGGCAAATGATGCCTTTGTTCGGCAGGAGGTTGTTTTTTTTGCGGGGGTGCTTTCGTCAGCAGTCCGAAGTCGGATTGGGAACGGCTGAAGCGTCATTGTCGTTGATTACAGGAATTCGCCAGCTTTTACATTTTTCTCCAGGCAATTTTGCAGACCAGCATGGCCCAGTGTTTGCGGTGTGTATTAACGGCGCGCCCCACTCCCCTCCCACACAGACACACAAACGCACACAGACGCACACTCGCACGCACGCACCTCTACGCGTGTGCAGTTTTTTTTTTCATGCCATTGCAAAGGGGAGAGCGTGTATTTATGTTTGCTCTTGGAGCTCTTCGAGGTGCAATCTCACGGGAACAATGGTGTCATTGAACACCTCTCTGGCATTCGCGCCATCGGACGCCTCATTAATCGGTGCAGGTCACGTGTCTGGGCAACCAGCCCGCGCCGCCGAACGGTTTTTACTCCGGTTAGAAAGTGAAAAACGAGTGGCTTCGATCGTTTTGGTTTCCATCGCACTCCGCTCACGCCTGCTGAGTTAGTTTTGCAGAGCCAGGTGCGGGCACGACCCATGCCCCCTGAGTGGCGCGTGTGGCGGTCGAAGCGACGGCGATGCCAAAATGCGCGGCCGGGCGACGCGGCGCGAACTCTGCGTGCGCGCGCTAACACGTTCAAGGCCTGCTGCAACAGCAACACCTCGGCCGCTGCAGACTTTTCACTCACTGCCTCGTTGCGGGCGAGGGCACGGTGGCGGCTGCTCGCCGGGCCGGACATGCAGTGCGCGGGCAGCTAGACTGGCGGAGAGGCCGGTCGTCACGCCTCTGCACTCGGCGCAGCCACGGCGCAGCCACGGCGGCGAGGAGGACGGTGTTCTTCATGCCGCGCGTCTAATGTGTGCACGTCGAGCACGTACACCGGGACCGTCTGATGAGCACGAATAATGTAAAGTCGGGAACAAACGCCGCCCGAAAATTAATGACGAAGTCTTACCGCCAGTTGCCCCTGGAGGGAGGCTATCAGCCTCACCAAACGGCGCCAACGGCCGCGCATTCAAGGTGCCCTGAAGGACAAAAGCGGAGGCCAGACATGACACTTTCTATTGCTTTCCATGAGAGATACACGCGGGAGGGCGGTTTAGGTCTTGCGCTAATTTGCCGCGTAAAATTATCATAGAATGTGTCTCTGACTCCCCGTTTTTGTTCTTGTTCCCAGAGCATCTTTGACGTTGATAGACTCCATCAAAGAAGTTTCCGCCGGTGCCTGGCGGCAGAACGCAACCTGAAATTTAATTATGCATATTAAATTTCAGGCTGCGTTCTGCAACATTTCCAGAAGGCCCTAGAAGACCGCGAGGCACCGGCGGCAAGGTCGATTAAATGGACCCGCCGCCGGATCGGACCCAGTTCAACTCAGTGTTGCTGTTGTTTGCGTTGTTGTTGTTTGACAGAAGTGAGGCTGCAGGCGGAAGGTCTTGGACGCGGCCGTGGACCTGGAAAAGGCCGGCATGGCACCTAATAGCAGGTGTTGCTGGAAGGAAAAGGGAACAGGTGGAGGGTGGGGGAACCTCTCTCTCTCTCCTCTCTCTCCACCCTTGGTGTCAGTCTCGACTTCCCACTCACCAGTCCCTTTAACAAACCTCGCCTGCAAAACGGGCCCGCGTGGTTACGAAACGAAGGGCTGGGCCAGTCACGCTGCCGAAAGCGAGGCGAGTGGTGTAGCTGGGTGCAGTCGGCCATCGGCCAGCCATCGGCCAGCCATCGGCCAGCCGGGCCACCGCCACAGCGCGCTGCAGCGTGGCCAAGCGCCTTCCGATCAGTGCATTCGGACAGTTTGGCACTTTGGAGCTGAGTCACCGCCTACGTCCTGATGCCGCACTATACTGCTTCGGAAGGGAACAATTTCCCCCTCTTCGCCGGAATTGTTGTAATTAGCCGAGCATCTAGCGTAGGTTGGCCGGATCTAGTGGCTCGAAACGGCGCGAAAATCGCGCGCCTTCGCCGCGTGCACACTAGCAAGCGTTAGCGAGCGTGTATGACTAAGCATCCGGTGGCCGTTGTACGGCGGGTAAGGCAGATTCAGTTCATTAAGACTATCGTGCGGTGCATCTCACTCAGCCGAGTGTGAATGCGGTGCATCTCGGTGCATCTGCACGTTGCTTGTCCGGCCGGCCGGGCCCTCGGCCAGGCCTGCCACCTGCCAGCCAGACGCGACGCCCCAGACGAGGTTAGAAGCAACAAAGACTGGGTACTGGGTCATCTGGGCACGCTACTGGGCGGACCGGGCGGACCGGATCGCCAGGAATGGGAATCACTGCAGTCCGGCCCGCCGTCCGGCCGGAGCACCTTGGAGGTGCGATTCTATTAACGCCACGAGAGGTCGCGCACGGACCGACGGACCGCGCAAAACAAGGCTAATGCTCACAAAGGAACCAGAAAAAAAAGTCTAAAAGGTGAATTCAAAACAATAACAACAGCGCCCGCCGTCGATTCGGCGTGATGCATATGCATGCATCCTCCCATCCCGAGCACCTGCCGAAAAGAAGCTGGCGCTGCCTTGGCGGGATTCGAACCGCAGAGGGCACGATCCACTGACTCGTGCGTTACCCCTGACCCGCAGCGACCGTTACGGACCGTTAGCTGCCGGAAACTTGAACGCGAGGCAGCCCTGGATGTCCGGCAGGGCGACACGAGCCTCAGTCACCGTGCGCGCCTTGCCACTTCCCACCGCCTCCGCCACCTCCAGACGAAAATTGCTGCCAGTAATCTCCGACTGCATTATGTCATTGCGTTATTCGCAGTCCTTCCCTTTGAAGGTCTACGGCTCTGCGGCGGCCTGCGGGACGGCCGAGCAACGGCAAGCCGAGAGGCGCTCCTCTGGATCCCGGCAACCCCGCCCGATGCCGCCGCCGCTCCGCGCTCCGCTCCCCCGCCCGGCTTGCGGCCGGCCTGCCTCTGCCCGGCTCTGCCCGCCTCTGCCTGCAGGTGTCCCCGCCTCGGACCGAGGCCCGGCCGCGCCAGAGAGGCACCGCGGCCCCCAGTCCACACTCTCCTCCCGCCCAAGCAGCACGCCGCCTCGATCGCCGCCCCGTGCGCACCCGTGCGCGAGTGTTTCGTGAGTGCGTTCCAGAGCGCGCGTGCGCATGGGCGTGAGAGCACGCGCCCAGTGAGTGCATCGAACAGCAGCCAGCGCACCAGGGAGTGTCCGGTCGTGATAGGGATTACCATCCTCGCCGCCTTCCAGCCCTTACAGCAGTGCACCGGTAAGCAAGCATGGCACGGGCCGACGGTCTGCGGGGGCGGGACCAACTCTCCAGGCTACCCGGCACTCTTCAATTTTTGAAGACTAAAATTCTTTACTGTTTGTAAGCCTGCTTACAGATTTGCAATCTTAATTTGGATACAAAAACTTTAAGGTGTTGTTAGTCTTGCGGGAATGCGATTATCTTGGAGGTAAGCAGAGGTAAACAAAACACTGATAGGCAGCCGGAGCCTACGGGTTGTGCCAACTTAACAATTCAAAAATTATCGCAGTACTTTTCTTTTTTATTGCCGTATCAATTTTTTATAGTTTCTTTTTTCGACAATGTCGTGGAGCCACGCTCTGCTGGCCGGATGCATGGATGGAATGCTGATTACCGCATCGGTCGCCTTACGTCTGTGTGGGAATCAATCACAAAGCAAGGCGCAAGGCAAAAATCCGGAGCCGGGTTTGATTGGGCGCGCGACGGGTGAGAAAGGAGAATGAGCCATTCAGCGACAGAAGCGACAGAAGAAAAGCCGGGCTGGCTTCTTCAGCGTGACCGTCACCGTCAGAGCAGGCGACTGGCGTAGCCATTTCCGGTTTCTTTCTGAACGGTTCTGGTATCTTGCCAACTTAAATTCCTGCAATGCTGCCAATCTATTTTTTATTTTATTTATGGAGTAGACTGGATCAAGAATGAGCCCCGACTCAGTATGTGGTTGCTTTCTTACCGCGAGGATGAAGGTTCAACGCCTTCAAAAGAGAAATTAATATCTAAATTCAATATTTTTTCAGTTGCCATCTCTCCATAAAAAGGTGTAGCATTAAGAAGTTGGCAGTATCGGAACGCCAAAATAAAGGTCTCGCTAGTCGGCTGGGCCTGGACAAGGCCGGGAAGCCGGGCGAGAAGCCGGGCCAGACCCAACCCGGCTGACATTGATACTCTTTCTGTGATCGGACCAAGGAACGAGGAACGCGACGCTGTTTCCGCGCGCCGCCGCAATTCCAGCCGACCAGACCACCGGTCAGCCCACCGGGCCCTGGCTGCAGGCGGGGCGGGGCGAGCGGGGCGGTGCAGACGACGTCCTCGTTGCGTCACGGCCGCGGGGCGGGGCAGGGCGAGGCAGTCGGTTGGACCGCTTTCAGAATCGTGTGTTTGGCTCAAGGCGGCGAGCGGGCGTGGCACTCCCGCGAGGATGCGACCCTTTCCTGTGGCGCCGCCATCAAACACTCTTTAATTTCCGCCTCATGTTCCCCGACTGTTCGCTGTCCGTCAAGTACCACCCGTAAAACGATTAGCGGCCCACGTAGCGCCGCGTAGCGACTCCAGCAACACTGTACTCTGACTCTCTCACTTCAAGGGCGGTCCCGAAAGGGTGCGAGAGAGAAAGGGCGACGGAACGCTCCGCGGAACCGTGCAGCAGCGCCCTCCGCTCCACCGGACCAGGCTGGGCCAGGCCGGCCGCACCCCGCTCCCCGCTTCTTGGCTGTCTGGGCAACGTCTGGGCAACGCGCCGCCGTGGCCCCCGCTTCGACCTCGACCCGGGCCCCGCGCCCCGCCCCTCGCCTGTCCGACCGGTGCGGGGCCTCGCCATGCCGCAGGAGCCACTCTGCAGGGAAATCACACTCGGGCGCCAATTTTGGAGCGCGCCGGTAAATGCGTTGGCTGCAAAGAATAACAGGAAAATGCTTTCGCAAATAAGGCGAATCTAATACGTAACCGCTTTTGTAGCCTTCTTCTCACGTGGGGCTGAACGAAACAGCGTGATAGGATTGCTTTTTGCAGCGCCATTGTGCCGCGCGGTGCCCGGCATGCGTGCGGAAGGGCCTTGCCTTCCAGTCGCCACCGCCCGGACGACTGAACCGTACAACACGTGAACCCTACGGTGCCCTGCGGTGCACGGTGAATAACACAGCCCCCCTCCTCCTCCGTACTCGGCCCCTCCCCGTGGCCAGCGTACAACCGTGGCCGGCGTACCGTGGCACCCGCTATGCGATTCGCGGCGTTATGGCCCCTAATTCCCTTTGTTTTGAGGCGAACGCACTCGCGGCACTCGCCGTGCCCGTAGAAACCTCTCGTAAAAGACGGAACCAACTGCCGCCAAAAAGTTAGGAATATTAATTTGCGCGCGCGTGTGAGTAACGGGGCAGAGGTGACACTGGCGGCCAGTGACAAGGGGGCGTCTTTACTACTGACACTGGCGGCCAGTGACACGGGGGTATCTTTACTACTGACACTGGCGGCCAGTGACACGGGGGTATCTTTACTACTGACACTGGCGGCCAGTGACACGGGGGTATCTTTACTACTGACACTGGCGGCCAGTGACACGGGGGCATCCTTACTACTGGCACTGGCGGTCAGTGACACGGGGGCATCCTTACAACTGACACTGGCGGCCAGTGACAAGGGGGCTTCCATACTTCTGACACTAGCGGCCAGTGACAAGGGGCTTCCATACTACTGACACTGGCGGCCAGTGACAACGGGGCATCCGTACTACTGACACCGTGGTTTCGATAGTACCGCCGCTGTTCGGCACGTGAGTGAATCGCGTGCAAGGCCAGCGGCGCAAAAACACTTAGTGCGCATCCAATCCCATTTGGCCATTTTGCGGTCGGGGCGTCGCACTTTACTCTTTCATTTTGTTAGCAGCGCGGCAAAACGGACGAGCGGCCAAGCGTGGCTCCGGGTGGCTGCGGGTGTAGGCTGGTGTAGGCGCGGCCCCACTAATGCTGGGAATTAGACTCTCGTCCAGGCAGCCGCCACTCCGCCAGCCGGCCAGTCGCCACAGTCCGGCAGTCCGGCACGCACACACGGACAATGTCAGGCAGTTCGCACACCGACTAAGTGAGTGCGTGGATGGACGGGTTGAATGAATGGCCGAATGGAGAAAAAGAGAGACTAAGTGGCCGAATGAAAGGAAGACTAAGTGACCGCTTTAATGCATGCACAAATGAACTAATGAATGAATAGGACTGTGAATAAATGGGTTTGTGAATAATTTTTTTTTTTCGGTGAAAAATACCAGTTTTAAAAAAGGACAGTTAAAAACCTGAAATCTAATTGAGGAATGAGATGACGCGTTATACTGTAAGTGCCACCTTGTGCCGCGCACCTCGTTGTTGGCGGGACTGCATCCGTGACTGTAGTAGTGAGTCCGATGTCCTGCCGGAGCGTCTCGGCGCGGCTTGGCACCGCTCCACCACGCGAATGAGATGTGCGCGGCGAGTAGTGGCGCGTAGCGTACCGCACGTTCCGCGTCCCACGTCGCCTTGCCTCGCCTTGCTTCGCCTTGCGTCGCCTCGTACCGCCTAGAGACCTAGAGACTCTAGGTCTCTAGTACCGCCGAGGCGTGCTGCAAGGCAGCGCAAGGGAATGCTTTAATCGTAAATCCTGTCCTCACGTAACAAACGGTTCGGAGTGCCAACGGCGCGCTCTCTCTCCCTCTGCGAAAGCATAAGTGGCAACGCTGCTAGATGGAAGCCGACCGGTCGCTAATACACTCAGTTTCTCAACCGTTTGATGCAATTTCAGCGTTCGGGATGAGTTTGTCGTCCAGGCCTTCGCGGATTCCAAGGTGCCAAGCTTCCAGGCTGGAGTGCTCCGCCAGACTCAATGGCGCCGCAGTGTCCTTTATCTTTATTTTTTGAGCGGCGTGGGAAAGGTCCCCGGGAAGCGCAAAGAGAGCACGGCGTAGTGTCCTCGGCCTCGGCAGCTGGCTGCTCTCTCTGTCTGTCTCACGTAGCCCCGTGTCACCGTTAGCCTCTCTGGAGGCTCCTGCAGCGGCTCTCGAGCCTTCCAGAGGCCGAATTCTGCCCGCCTAGTTTCAGGCCAGTGCTTTTCCAGTACTTTTCCATTGCCCCCTGCCCAGGCGACACACTCGCGGCGAGGCCGCTCTAGCCACGGCTCCAGCCTCGGCTCCAGCCAAGCCCGACAAGGCCCTGGCGTTGCTGCAAGCCGTGGATTGTATCTCCACTGCAAACGAACGTGGAACGCGACACTGGAGAGGCGTGCTTGCTTGCAGTGCCTCGCAGTGCCGCGTTGTTTCCACGAGCCGCGTTGCAACGCGCCGCGTGGTAACCTGCTTGACTCGCCCCGACTAGACTCGACCCGCCTCCCGTAATCGGCGCATCTGGATGAATCTATGAATCTCCGCGCCGCGCGTGGTGAGGCCCGAGGTTCACAGTTCAAACACTTCACGCCGCCAACAGTTGTCGGCTGCTTTATGGTTCCTGAGTCGTCGTTAAATGACGCCAGGAGTCAACTGCCTTTTATTACAATCCTGGCCGGTGCCTATTTAACGGGCACCATGACCGTGGTGTGCTTTCCACTGCCAGCGTGTGTGTAAGTGCGTGTGTTGTGTTTTACGCAATATGAACTCACATCCCTTGGGTCGCAACGCACCGCTTGCTATCTTTTTCTGCTCTTCACTTCCGCTTCCCATCATTTCTCACTTGCTCCGATTTCGCTCTACGTGCCCCGAAGAGGGGCAGTCGACCGCGTCTAAATCAGGATCTGGTTTCTTGTCGGGATGGGCTTCGATGGTTGACTCCCCGGCGGTTGTTTCTAGTTGCTGACGACGGCGTGCTCGTATTGTGTCAAGGGTGATGCAGAGACGGGTTAGCTGTCTAATTCCAGGAGCAAAGTGCGAGTTTTTGCATACCTTTTAGGCACTGCCCCCACCGCCCCTGGACCCGCGCCTGACTGTTGTTGTTGTTGCAGATCCACGATGGCGGACCCCGGCATCCCCGAGTTCTTCGAGGGCCGCGACGTGCTGGTGACGGGCGCGACGGGCTTCATGGGCAAGGTGCTGGTGGAGAAGCTGCTTCGCTGCTGCCCGGGCGTGCGCACCATCTACATCCTGGTGCGCGCCAAGCGCGGCGTCGCCCCCAACGCGCGGCTGGAAGCCTTCTCCAAGATCGCGGTAAGCGAGTGCAACAACTGCATGCTTTGTTTACCCTACCCTATCTCCTGAGAAGAAAATAAATCAGCCACACTCACGTACATGATTCCCCAGAGAGTCGAGCGCTATTCCCGTCAATTGTGCGCGCAAGGTTCCCAGAGCGGCAACCTCTCGGTAACACGGCTCAAACTCCGTCGTTAATGACCGTGTCACACACAACCTGACTGTTTTCAATTCACCAATTCACACAACAGCCAAATGAGATGAACAACAATCTAATTGGCTGCAGCTGTTCGAGCCGCTCCTCAAGCAGAACCCGAAGGCTCTGCAGAAGGTGGTGCCCCTGGAGGGGCAGGTGAACGCCGTCAACATGGGCCTGAGCGAGAAGGACCAGCAGCTCATCGTGGACACGGTGTCCGTCGTCTTCCACCTGGCCGCGTCGCTGGACTGGCGCAGCTCCCTGAAGCGCGCCGTCACCGACAACACCGTGGGCACGAGGAACGTCATGGACTTCTGCTCCAGGATCCGGAACCTCACGGTAAGGCCGCCAGGGTCAGGCTGGCAAGAGATGAGAGTGGCACCCGAACCGTCGTGACCCGCGGTATCTCGTAAACGGTGACCGGTACAGTCCTTAACTAAAGAGTGACTTTAAATGGAAACGAAATTTTCAAAAGAAGTCACCTTGCGCTGAACACCTGTAAATCTCACTGTTTACGAGAAATGGACACCGCAAGACGGCAGGTCAAGAGCTGGCCGATTTGCTCGTCTTTGGTAGCTCTCGCCCTCCACTGCCCAACTTTCAAGTCAAAATGGTAGCTGATGTCGTTGGTGTTGCAGGCGCTGGCCTACACGTCCACCGCCTTCTGCCAGTGCGAGGAGGACGTGCTGGAGGAGCGCACCTACAAGCCCAGGGTGGACCCCGAGATAGTGCTGGAGCTGTGCGAGAAGCTGGACGAGGAGGCCCTGCAGGCCATGACCCCTGGGTGAGTGGCGCGGAGTAGGTTGGGGGTCCTATACTACTGCCAGAGAGGGCATCAACTGCGTTTTAAAGAAAGCCAAGACTGGCACTTGAACCTCGGCCTGGGTTTTCCCTGCAGTCTGCTTGGCCGCCACCCCAACTGCTACACCTTCACGAAGGCCCTGTCGGAGGCGATCGTGGCCGACTACGGCAGTAAAATGCCCATCTGCATCATCAGGCCGGGCATTGGTACGTTGGTCCACCACTCGATTCAAAATACTTTTTATATAACAGTATTGAATAAGATGTCGTTTGCAGTGGTGCCGGCGCTCAAGGACCCCTTCCCCGGGTGGGTGGACAGCCTGAACGGGCCGATGGGGGTGCTTGTGGCCTCGGGCAAGGGCGTGCTGCGCTCCATGATGTGCAACGAGAAGTACGCCGCCGAAGTCATCCCCGTCGACATCTGCATCAACCTCATCATCGCCGCGGTGCACAAGCGCTTCCAGCAGTGAGTGCACCTCTCGTCCAGCCTCCGGCCAACTTCGGCCGCCCAGTTCCAATGAGACGATCGAGCCTTCGATTGTTAAGCCCCTATTATTGCATCACGGCCGAACGAGCAGACCCGTAAAATAAAGTGCACACACGATATCCAACGGGGAGAGGAATGGTTACGCAATGTGAGGGCAGCGGCGTGGCGCGGCGCTGCAGTGTGGCTGTGTGTGTGTGTGTGTGTGTGTGTGTGTGTGTGTGTGTGTGTGTGTGTGTGTGTTCGCTGCCTCCGCGGCGCTGTCCCGCATTCTGAGCATTCTGCAGGCCGACCCGACGTCCCGAAGGCCCCTAAGCCGGTAACTGGCGCTGCACCGCGCTGCAGTTGCCGCGGTCTGCAGTGGGCCGGGTTCGGGCCGCGACCCGCCGCGGAGCGCCGGGCAGCCGTCCACCTCCCGATCAGACAGCTTGCCCTGGCTCGCCCACACCATGCTCCGCCAACAGCAAACTTTCTGCAAAAAATCTGCCATACCTAACAACGCCTCTCTGTCCTCCCTCAGGCCGAAGATCATGTCCGACATGCCGGTGTACAACGCGTGCACCGGCACCCAGGACCGCACCACGTGGCGGGAGGTGCTGCAGCTCGGCCACAAGAAGCTCATCAAGTACCCGTTCGAGTGGGCCATCTGGTACCCGGACGGCAACATCCGCACCAACTGGTACACGCACACGCTCATCGTCTTCTTCTTCCAGACCCTCCCCGCGTACTTCATCGACTTCATCTTCCTCTGCCTCTTCATGGAGAGATTGTGAGTACTGCAGTGCGGTTCTCCCTGCGCCCGGCAGGTAGACGACCCATCCGACGGCGTAAGAGCTCGCCGCCCGCGCGGCAGGCAACCCAGCCGCCACTGACCCCCACCACTTGCATGCTTGCAGCATGGTGCGCGTGCAGAGCAAGATCAACTCGGGCAACGAGCTGCTGGCCTTCTTCACGATGCGCGAGTGGAAGTTCCCCAACGACAACGGCTGGTCGCTGTGGAAGGGCCTGAACCCGCGTGACCAGGAGACCTTCTTCATTAACAACGTCCTGCCCGTGGACAAGGACGCCTACCTGGACAGCTGCGTGTTCGGCGCGCGCACGTACTGCATGAAGGAGCCCGTGTCGTCCCTGAAGGCTTGCCGCCGCCGGATCAAAGTGTGAGTACCGCCAGGGTCATCTCGGGCCTGCACGATGGCGGCCGCGGATATGAATATGAATGTGGGGGACGCGCTCACGGCCCTGACGGCCTTGACGGCCTTGGTGTTGCTGTTGCAGGCAATACGTGGTGCACCGCGCGTGCGTGGCGCTGTTCTACATGTGGTGCGTCTACATCGCGGTGCGCGTGCTGAGCTGGCTGGCCGGCGACTCCGTCAAGGGCCTCATGGCCGAGTCCGTGGACGACCGCCTGTCCCTCTAGGCGCCCGCAGTGCCGCAGTGCCGCTCAGCGAACAGCGTTCGCCCCCAACACCTTCCCCCTTTTGCCATTTACGTACTTCGCTTCACCTCAGCACGCTTCTTGTCGCGCGCCCCGGGACACTGTTAAAGCTTTGGGACGCGGTCTCGTTGCAATGGCCCCGTGTTTGGGTCGGGATTCGTTTCCCAGATTTGTAACAGTTTTTTACTGGCGCCTTCACCTCTGCCATGGGTTCTGACTTAAGTGCAGCGCCTGAAACTTTCTTTTTGCCTTGTTTCATCGTTTTAATCGTAGTGGTGTAAGCTGCATTCCTGGGCTGGTTTCCATTCCGCACTAAGGCGAGTGCGTTCTAACAAATAAGGGCCCATCACATTCATGTATATTGCTCATTTGATCGTCATCTAGAAGTGTAATCTCAAACGAGGAGACTGATTTTAGTCATTCGGGCTAAGCATTTGTGTACCTTTATTTTGCGGAGGTGGTATGTGTACGAGTCTATAGTACAGTGCAGCTCACTGCTAAAACGTTGTTAATGTAGTCAACGATGAATGTCCTCCTGTCTACGCTCTTGCTCAAACTTTTGTTGTTTCGTTTTCGAATTTAGACCTAAGTCACCCTCCATCGAATCATGACGGCGAGATTGGCCGTACGTTGGGTCGAGCGAACTCGACCACGTAAGTCACCAAATACTGCACGCAGAAAAATGTTTCATCGAAAGAGAAATTGTCGCGTTTTGGAAACTCTTTCGAATCAGTGTCGAAAAATCACATTGATTCTAAGCCGTTTGGTGAAATCGATACTTTTTCATCAATTCAATGAAAAGCGTTTTCTGGGTGTACGGCCATGTTCTCTTGTCAACACGCGCCTTGTGTTCAAAATGATGTCTTCTTTTGAAGAAAAGTGTATTTATTGATTGTATCAAAATGTATTTTTTTTCACTGTGTTGTATGTTGTATGCCTGTACCAAAATAAAAAACATGTGAACTGCCGCCACGCTGTCTTCTTCCCGCTGCACCTTGTTCCCAGTAGCAACAGTCTGTATAAGTGACGCCTCTACTTCGGCATCCGGCCACTTTTAAAAGTCCTCCTCTAAGCGGATTGCGCGGAGAATCGCTCATGATCGCCAACAGCAAAAAGTTTCTGACACGATCAGCGTCTCATCGCTGTGGGAGGGGAGGAGACACGATGCTCTGGCTGCTCGTCGGCCTGGCCGGATTATCCATTATGAAACCTGCAAGCTTGAGACGCGGCGACGCGGCGACGCGGCCAGCGAGAAAAATTAGCCGGCCGTCGCTTCGTATTTCAGGCGGGCGGCGCCAACTTCGCCGAGTGGCGGGGCGGGAAGGGGAGGGCGGCAAGCCGCAAACACCACAAATCGAAATTTCCCTGCTGATGGCAGCGGCCCGGTGTGGAATTACCCGTCGCGAAAAAGAGACATTCTTCAGCACCCTCTCCTCGCGCCCCCACCCCCACCCCCACCCCCGCCCCCGCCGCGCCCCCTGCTCCTCCGGGCCGCGGCGCCCCTCCACGCTCAGTCTCTCATTGGCCGGCGAGCGGCCCCTTCCTCGTCCTCGGCCACGCCCCACCGGGGGCCGCGGGGGGCAGGGTTGGGGCTGGAGCCGCCCCCGCACCGCCCCCGCACCGCCCCCGCACCGCCCCCGCACCACCCCCGCACCGCCCCCGCACCGCCCCCGCACCGCCCCCGCACCGCCCCCGCTCCACGGTCAGTCGAATCTGCGGCCGCGAGCACCGGGAACGAGACGCTCGACAAACTAGCCAACTCGCGGAGAACGCCGCCTGCTGTCCACGGCATAGGCAACCCGGCCAGCGGGCGTGCGCGCTGTTGCCTACCTCGCCGGCGCTCGCGGCCAGGCAGGCAGGCAGGCAGGCAGGCAGACGGGCAGGCAGGCAGGCAGGCAGGCAGACGGGCAGGCAGGCAGGCAGGCAGGCAGGCAGGCAGGCAGGCAGGCAGGCAGGCAGACGGGCAGGCAGGCAGGCAGGCAGGCAGGCAGACGGGCAGGCAGGCAGGCAGGCAGGCAGACGGGCAGGCAGGCAGGCAGGCAGGCAGGCAGGCAGGCAGGCAGGCAGGCAGGCGGCTAGGCGGGCAGACAGGGCCAGCGCAACGAGGCGAAGCAAGAGCACGCTGGTCGGACCTCACTTTTAATTCTGAAAGCACTCATCGCAGCGCACACACGCACACACACACACACGCACACACACATCGCACACATCCTTTTCAGTCTCACGCTCCCCTCGTTCACGCCCTTCCCCGTTCATTACTCTTCATTAGACTGCGCCTCGCGTCCTCACTGTCTCTGTCCCTCCACCTATTACCCGCACGGCTATTTTACTTTGACGCTGTAATCTTCCCTCCTCTTTTTCTTTCCCACCCCCTCGTGTCTTCGTCCACAGTGTGGCGGCGGCCGTTGGCTGGTGTCCGGACGGTGGGATGGAGCTCGGGGACACTGCACTAACCCAGTGTGCTGGTCAGCGCGGCAGGTGCTCTTGGCCCTCCGCACAGTGTGGGGGTTGCGAGTCACGGTGTCGCTAACCGCACGCGCCTACTTGCGCTTTGCATCGACGTAAATTTTGAAATGTCACGACAGTGATGCTAAATCGAGAAAGATGGCAGCCTTATCTTTGCATAGGTTTCCGTCACTGCATAGAGAGTTGTGTTTTGCAGCTTCACTCAAGTGCTGTCAATGGTGACCGTCTCAACAGATACAGATTTAAAACTCGACATCGTGCATCCACTCCAAATTCGCGGCTCGTCCTTAAGGTTGAGCTACTGGGCGCCTTCTGTCGCCATTCTGTCTCTCTCGCACCCTGACGGTGTGCTCCACGAGTGCGAGAGGGACAGCTCGATTCCATCACGGTGTGGGCGGCGAGCGCAGCGCGGCGGGTCGTATAAAGTTTAACGGCGCCGCCTGTCAAAATTGTCACTCGAAGCGCCGCGACGGCGACGCGGCGACGGCGGCCCCGGATTGCGCGACTTATTATGCAAATAGATAAAGCATGGCCGTCGCAGGACGGACCAACAGAGAGGGTGGTCCCCCCGCCGTCCCGGACCACAGCAGCACCAGGACGGCTCCAAACCAAAAATTGAATCAAATGGTGGCTGGGCTCGCCCCGCCGCCGTGCCGTATCCGAGTGTGAGAGGCTCCCCCTCCCCCCCCCCCTTTTCTCTATGAGTCTCACTGGCTGCTGCCCGGCCGATCCGCCCGTAATGAAGAGGCTGTTGTTTTTGAATAGGATTAAAACGGCTGTCGGCCGCAATAGCCCGCCTGAAACAACACGATAATGCTGCGGTGGCGGCGGCGGCAGCACGAGACTCCCCCCCCCCCTTTCGGTCTGTTTGCGAGGCGTAACTCAGTGCGATTGCTGCTTGACTCGAGGACCGTATCGGCAACGCAGCGGCAGTTTGACAGTGTGTTGTTGTTGATTCGAGGGGAGGTTGTCACACGCCCTCGCCGAAAAAAGTACATTCTAGTTTTGATACGCACGAACGATTTTATTTCTTTTCTTTCTAATCGTTATAACATAATACTACGACATCACATTCAGAAGCGAACGGGCCGCGTGGGCAAACAGCGGTAACGAGGTTTACTTGCAGGTGCAGTGGTAACCCCTCCAGTAAATGTACTTTAAGTATATATGTACACATATTTCAAACAATTTCCTAACGACTCTTTACTTAAACTTAGAGGGTAATGGTTAGACACGAAACTGCGTTTTTCGGATTACATCACAGCGACTATGAACGAAAACGATTAATATTGGCGCCCCGCCAGAGCGGGCGCTTCTAAGGGACTCCCATTTCACCTGGATCCACTATCACCGACGGCACCCTCGCCTCCAGGAGTCGAGGAACGCGCTCCGCCATCAGAGACTATCGACAGTTTGACTAGAAGGTTATTGAGAAAGTTGGATTATTTATCCTAGGGCCGAGGCTGGCTGGCCTGCCTAGTGGTGCGGCACGTGCAGGTTGAGGGCGTTGGCGGCGTTGGCGGCGTTGGCGGCGGCCTCGCGCATGAAGTGGTGGTGCAGGTGCGCCTGCCCCTGGAAGGGTGGCTGCAGCTGCCCGAGCTGCCCGAGCTGGCCCAGCTGGCCGAGGTGGCCCAGCGCGCCGCTCAGCGGGTGCTGGTGCAGGAACATCGGCGGCGAGCCCGGCCGACCGGGCGACCGCGACGGCGGCGACATCCGTAGGGCTGGCGAACGCGGCGGCGAGCACCTCCTGGGCGGCGAGCACCGCCTGGACATCGGCGGAGACCTCGGCGGCGGCGATCGCGGTGGCGGTGACCTCGACGGCGGCGGTGACCTTGCCGGCGACGTCCGAGGCGACCTCGTTGGCGAAGGGTGCGGTGACCGGCGCGGCGACGACTGCGGGGAGTCGTCGTCGTCCGACGACACGGCCTCCTTGTTGGTCTTGCGGTGCTTGACGTAGTCCACGACCAGCTCCAGCCCCAGCAGCGCGCGGATGTCCTTCTTCTTCTTCTTCGTCTCCTCGTCGCTCGTCTCGCCCTCGGCCTTGGTGTCCTCCTCGTCCTCATTGTTGTTATGATTGTTATTGTTGTTGCTATTGTTGTTGTTGTTGTTGTTGGGCTTGATGTCGGCGTCCATGAGCTGTCGCTGGCCGGGCCGCACGTCATCGTAGATCCGAGACAGGTTCTGCAGCACGTAGTTGGGGCCGGGCCCGGGGCTGCCGGTGACGGGGGGGTGTCCGCCGAGCCCCACGGGCGCTCCGGGCGCTCCGGGCCCTGGGCTGAGGGGCGCCTCGCCGGGGCCGGGGGACGGCGGCGCGGGGTGCTGCTTGCCGCGCGGCAGGGGCACGCTGAAGGCCGAGCAGTGCTTCTGCTCGCCCTCCTTGGCCTTGATGTGCCCCGAGACGCGCAGGTCGATGAAGAAGTGCAGCGGGTCTATGGGGTACGGCGGCTGCAGGGGCTGCAGCGGCTGCAGGGGCGGCTGGTGCGGCAGCGGGTACAGCGCGGGCGGCGGGTACCACAGCGGTGGCTGCAGAGGCGGCTGCAGCATGTCGCCGGGGTGGGGCGGCGACCCCAGCGGAGGCAGCATGCCCAGCGGCGGGTGCATCGGGGGCTTCGGCGACCCCGGCGGCGGCAGCGGTAGCTTGTCGTCGCCCAGGGGCGGCGCGCGCGGCGTGGTCAGCTCCAGGGGCTTGTCCGCCATGGCCAGGCCCTGGGCCAGGCCCTGCGCCAGTCCCTGCTGGTGCTTGGCGGCGTCGCGCCACGTGCGCTTGCGGGGTCGGCGCGTGGGCGGCGCGTGGTGCGGCGGGCCGTCGTGGCCGCCCTGCCCCGCCTTGGCCGCCACCAGGCCGCGCAGCATCTCGCTGAAGAAGAAGGAGGTGGGGTGCAGCAGCGGCGCGTACAGGTAGGGCGGCGTGGCGGCCAGCAGCCGCGACACCAGGTCGCACGGCCGCAGGTCCATGTCGGACTCTGCAACACCAAGGCCTGGGCTGCAGTCCCTCCCCTCCACCGCTAGACTCCAGCACGCCAAAACGTGGAGACCAAGGATGACGTACCTGCTCGCGTCGGCCGCAGCGTGTTGACGGGCTTGTCCTGCACGTCGCCGACGGACGCCATGGCTGCACCTGGGGGCAGAAGAGGGGGCCGCGTCAGTGGGGCTGCATCCGCTGCATCCGCTGCATCCGCTGCATTCGCTGCATCCGCTGCATTCGCTGCATCCGCTGCATTCGCTGCATCGGGGCGCAGCAGCGCGGCGCATCATTTTCGTCAAGACGGCGCCGCAGACACGACGGGACACGACACGGCGCGACGACACGGCGCGACACCGCGGGATGGCTTTGTACTACACTACATTCTGTGGCGGGGAGTGCGGGAAGGAAAGAGTCGTCAAGAGATGCACGGGGCATGAAAAGGGGAGGGGGTGGGGAGGGAGCGTTTGAATGTGAAATGTGCACTCGTGTGCGCACACAGACACACCGCGACTCACACACAAACATACACACACACAC